CCGCTGGTGCGGCAGTCGAAACTCTCGCCACTCGCGACCGGGTACGTATAAATCCTCGATCGGCCCACACGAAGGCTGCGTGCCGTAAGGTTCGTCATCTTCAGCACTCTGCGACTTTAGCAGTGGTATCATGACCTCGTCCGGAAGGCGTGCGGTGCCATGAAATAGATCCAGCCGGATTCCAGCCGGGATCATGAAGTCCATCCCAAGGCCCACATCCACCCCGGCACTGTGATCCATTATCCACATTTCAAATTCGTAGACCTGCTCCCACCCGAGGGTGATCTTGACGAGCGCCCGTCGCCGGGTCTCCATCACCCCTGGGTCGATGCCGCGGACTTCGATACTTCGTCCGTGGTCCCGGACGTCTCGCACATGTAGCCACTTGGCGAAGCTGGCAGAAATCACGCTAACATTCGCTCCAGTGTCAAGGAGTATCCTCGTACGCGCGTCGTCCACTACGCCATTGACCAAAGCCCTCATTCGCTTCCTCTTGTCGTATCGTTGGGACGCCCACCGCCCCAGTCTCTCACCGGGCAGTAATTTCACCGCCCGAACGAGGTTCCGAGGTGGCCCCCTTATCTGGGCTAGACTTGTGATCAAAGCCTCGGTCGGGTATCCATCACGTTTATCATCATCATCTTCATCAATACCAATCGCAACGAGACTTGCGTCCCGGTTCTCTCCATTTTCCGTCGGTTTCACACGTTCATTGTTCTTCAGGGCGTCAGGCCATTTGCTTTCGCCCCGTGAACGCGAACAGATAGTCCGCATCAACAGCAGACTCAGCTAACTGTGGCAGCCCGATTGAGACCAACCCAGTTTCAGTTGACGGGCTGCTTAGCTTAAATGGCTTCCATACACCAGGCTTTGCAGCTCTGGTGACAGATCCTTCTTGTCGACCTTGGACTTCAGGAGCTTGGTGAGCTCGTGGAGTGCTTCACACTTCCCAGCGTCGTGCACCTGTTTGCACAGTTTGCACCGCCGGTAGCAGGAGTGCACCGAGTGGGACGGGCTTCCGCACGCGGCACACGGCCCATACTAGCGTCGACCATCTCGTTCATGGTTGGACGGTCCTCCTCCGTTCCTGAAGCGTCGGTTATCAGACCGAGCGAACGTTCCTTCGGCTGCGGCCCTGCGCTCAGCATCGTTAGCAGCAGCGACATGTCCGGTAGACCCATCCGAGTCGTAATCAGCGTCTGAATCCTCGTCCGAGCGTTGGTCGTCCGAGTATTGGCGCTCATCCTCGAAGTAATCCTCGTTCACCTCAGCATTACGTCGGGGGGCGTATGGAGTCTCGTTGCGTGCAGAGACCGAGCCTTCGACGTTCCATTCCGCCATCACATCGGCCAGCGCATCAACCAAAGTGACTCGGGACTGGTACGGTGATCCATCGCGTCGGTCACGGCGACGGTCGTCTTCACTGTGGTCGTTGCGGCGGTCGTTGTCACGGCGACGTCGTTCGCGACGGTCTTCGTCGTGGTAGCGTCGTTCGCGGCGGTAGCCACCACGAGAATCCTCGTTCGACTTCGCATCGCGTCGACGTCCATCATCTTGACTCCGAGAGCGGCGGAACGACGATTCTCGTTCGATTTGTGGTCACGGTGACGCAGGATGTCGTTGATCATGTCTTCGAGGTCATGGATGCTCTTGACCCGGACGTGGCACAGACGGTCTTCTAAGTTTCGGACGTCACACGTGACCAAGAAGTGGTCCACGTGGTCCTTCGCGTCACGACCACCATTTTCAAATTGCACACCGGCGTTGCGAGCGTAGCCGTTCAGCCGGTTGAGGTAGTCACAAACGTGTTCCTTGTCTTCCCGTTTGGCCGAGTCGTACCGAGCCTTCGCAGACAGGGAAAACTTCGAGCAATAGTACTTGATGAACGCCTTGCTCAGCAACTTCCACGTGCGTCTTGTCTTGCGTGGGAGCTGGCGACACCAGTGCAGGGCTCCATCCCTGAGCTTAAGTTCGAACGGCATACACCACTCGTTGGGTGGTGCATGCGTTCCCTTCATCTCATAGATGAATGTTCGGAGCCACTGCATGGAGTGCTCGCTCTTGTCGCGCGTTCCGTAGAACGGCTTGATGTTGGCGAGAGGCAAATGCGTGGCGATCTCGAGCTTTGGGGTTGAGCTCTGGTTGTCGGTCGCGCTTAGCTCGCGCACCTGACGTGTCCATTCGCTCGGTAGGTCCCCTTCGTAGTAGTCGGGCCCGAGGTCGTCGTCGCTGTCCGACGAATCATCTTGGAGGTCGTAACGTCGGCCGGACCGACGACCGGTCGCTCCGCGCGTGCCAGGCGTGGCGAATGAAGCCTCGTTCTCCCTAGCCAGACGTTCACAACGGTCCGTAGATCGTGGAGTTACCATGTGCGAGTCTTGCATGTACGGCGAGGCTTCGCCCTTGGTTGCAAAGACACCGTCATCGGTGGCTCCCTTCCGAGGGGTCGCTGGTAGCGGGACCGTCGACGGGTCTACTGCCTCCGAGGTCGAACGAAGCATCGTTGGGCCTCGCGAACTGACGTCCGCCACTCCAAAGGCATTACGCAGCTTCTTCCTCCACTTGGTTAACGCCGTGGCAGCGGCGGTCGGCGTCCAACTTGCGAGCGCAGCCTCCGTGGGGAGGATTTGGGGTTCGCACCCCATAGCTCGCAGGAGGTCCACAGTATTCTGCGCAACGTGCCGAGTGCTCGTTGAGTTGATCGGCGTAGCCAACGCCCCTCCGAGGTCCATCCAGATGGCCTGGCGGACTTGCTTCGGGGAGAACAACTGCATCCATTCGCTCTTGGTCTTCATCAGGTCTAGGCACCGGCCTAGGACCTTGTTAGCCGCCGGAGTATCCCCGTTGAGGGGAGGACGAGTGCCAACCGGCTTGGAGGTTGCCTCTCCTACCGTCACCGAGGGTTTGAAGTCCTCGGTGGCGCCGCCATCCGCGTCGTAGGCGGGCTCGGGGCCCGGCATGTCCTTGAACGTGTCGGAGAGGTCGCGGGTAATCGACCTTGATCCTCCACTGCGACCTGCCGACACAACCGCAGCTTCCGAAGTCTCGGACATCGCAGTCCGGACATCCCAGTCATCATCTTCGTCATCTTCTTTGGCGTCCGAGGAATCAATCGCCGTGTCGTAGCTCACCGAATGCTCGTCAATCGACCCCATCCGATCCGTCGTTGGGGTCGAGAATGAGCTTCCGGAGCGCATCGAAGTCTCGTTGCGCGTTCCACTCGACTTGGCCGGCGTTGCTGGTACCGCTGATTTCACTCCCATCGCCATCTTCTCTCTTCTTCTTCTTGTTCTCCTCTTCGCTCGTTGGGGGTAAAGACTTACAGCAACCACGACACACAGAAGGTCCCACCAATCCCGAGTCGCGGCACCAGTTGTGTTGTGGTAATTCCACTAAAGTCCTCCTCTACCAAACGGTATTAGAGGCACCAACAACACGCTAACCCGCAAAGGTAAGCGCTTATTGGATCAAAACCTGAAGACCAGGAACGATCCCTTACACCGGGTCGGTTGCAAGCGCCTCTGTGCACCTTAGGTTGTCTTCGGTCAACCCAAAAACCTGTACCGCTAGCCACGAGCTAAGGCTAGGATACTATGTAGCGCTTTCGCGCAACCCCACTGCAGTCCCTCAGAAAGGAAGGGTACCGGCGTGTTAGGCCTTATACAGGGGGACCAAGGTAAAACCTCGGTAGGTAGACTAATACACTCAGGGATACTCTAATCCCACAAATATATACCGAACGATACACTAATACCGTTCCTGCCTCTCTGGCCACGCCAACACTTGGTGCTGCCAAGGAAACTCTCGGTCAATGCACGATAAGCTCCCCGACAGGCATCCACACGCAGCCGAGCGTGTCCAGGCACTACAATAAGCTAGCTACACTTACCGAAGTCGGACTTGACCCTTGTTGGCTTTGGGGGAAGACTGTCTTTTTATTACTGAGTTTTCTGAGGCCCTGGGGCCTCGTTCTGATCATCCTATGATGAGTCCCATATCCCTATACAAATATCTAGGGTGAACGACCGCAATAAGGCGATTCCGGACACATCAAATGCCGACCGCGGCCACACTAATAAGTGCGACCGAAGTACATAACTAAATGCATCTGTACCTAAAAGTGGGTACCATGAAGCCTCGTTCGGGGTTCTATTAGGAACCGACGAGGCTTCGGCCACTGCCTGTCACTCTACCGAGGATAATGGCATCATCCAATCAGAAGCAGCCATCTCCGTCTCTCGCTTGACCTCGCCTTGATCGCCCCATGATTGAACTTGATTGTCGGGCTGGCGGGTCAACAGCGTTGGAAACTGCCACTTTCCAATACCACACCATGACATCAGCGTAGGTGGTAATGTCGAAATCCCCCTGTCTTCGCAGTCGGTGTGCTCTGTTTTTGACTTGAGAAGCTGATGGCAGCAAGGCGAGAACTTCTTCGGAGTGATCGTACTTCATGCGTAGGGTGATCGAACACGTTTTGGGACCTTGGCCTCCCAGCAGCAAACCGTCGATCTCCGGAAGTAATGGCTTGTGAATCCCCGTCCGCTGCGTCTCAATCGGTGCCACAACTGCCGTATGCATACCACTACGCGACAACCGAAACTTGCCGTCGGGATCAAGAGTGATACGTGTCTCAGCTGTGCAATCAACATGAGAAGTACACCAGAGACGTTTGGTCACACTGTTGTTGTTTGACAGCGCGAATCTTGCGTTCTCGAGCCCGTCGAGAACCCCTCGAGCCTCGGCTAGAGACTCAAAGCGTACTGGGTGTTCGAGCGTCCCATCAATAGCCAGGCTTTGTCAAACTGTTGGGGCGGCCTTCTCGCTTTCTGAAATCTCCGACGACACGTCTTGGTCCGAATCGTCTGGGTCCGAATTATTGGCGCTGCTGTCATCGTGCGATGAAGGTGCATCCAAGTCTGGACCACCGGGGCTAGCTGCGGTCATGTTGGTCTCTTCACTGCGTTGACGCCGGCGAGTTGCTCGGGAACGACGACGCGTTACGACTCCCCGTAAAATTTCAGACAATCCGATTTGGCAGGGACTTCGTCGGAATGAACAGGGTCTCCGTAGGTCTCGACAAACTCAGGAGTTCGTGGAGAGCGCCTCTCAGGCGACTGTTGTTGTGGCGGAGGCGTTGGGGCTGGATCGCGCTCAATGCCGTAGCGAGCGAGCCGGTGCATGGATTGCTCTATCGCCTCGATTTCTTCGTCGAGGCGTCGGAGACGAGCGATCAGCCGGTCTCGGGCGCGCTCTCGGCCTTTTAGGCATTGCCCGAGAGCGTCCATGTGCGCCTCGCTGTCTTCATCATCGTTGTGGAAGCGGCGTCGAGGTTCGCGTGGCATGGCAAATTGCTTTGTGCCATGCCAGACAAACCTCGCAAGGTAAGCTTCACACCTAGGTGCAAAATATGTGATAGCGGCTTCTGTACTTAAATCATCTAGATAAAATATATATGATAGCGACTTCTGTACTTAAACCTGCCGCGAACCTTGTCCGAACCTTTAAAGGCCAGAAATGCTATTAAGGACGCTAGGTTAAAGTTCCAGAAACTTGCTTCGATGCTGCCCTTCTAATTGTTTCGGTACGGCACCGAACAGTTAACCCTATAAGCCCTGAACCGAAAAATATATGCAATGCCATTTCGAATGTACAGAATGAAATAAATCCATCAGAAATGCAATGTAGCTGTCGAGAATGCAATGCATCCCCACTAAATGGAAAGTAGCCGGTGAGAGAACGAAAAAAAGTTTTTTTCGGTTCAGGCGTGATCGGTTGAACCACCAGGACGTGAGCTTTTCATTCCTTTGCAGGGTAGTTCTCTCCAAAGTGCTCGGGGCTCTTCATCGACAGCTTGGGTTCCATTGGTGTAAAGTTTCGCAGGTCACCCTGTTCATCAACTGCTGCTCCAGCCGCATGGCCGATGGACTCGCTCGCATTGCTCTGCTCAGCTTGGGGGTGTCTATTCAAGCTGTTCTTGAACAATTTTCAACCCGAACTGCATTTGTTGCTGGTAACACAAATTCTTTGCTGCTGTCTCGAAAAACTAGCACGAGCTGCTACACAAAGAGCGCCGTTTAAATGAGCTTCTGCGTGACGGCGGCGCCCTTGAGTCCAGCCTGCTCGATCGTCTGCTCCAGATCCGTCGACACGGGGCGGGGCGGGAATCCAGCCAGAAGCGTGTACGGTTGTGCACCAGCGTCGTTCCTACAAAAGCAACAATAAACACATGATCAACACTCGATGCACATAACCACTTCCTTCGTCTCTTGCAGTCTCCACGTACAGCTGGATGATCGCGTGCAGGTCCCGAATGGTGTGGTCCAAGTTGAGCGTCTCGCGCAGTCGCTGGCCGTTGTGCAGGCGGATCTGCAGCGTCGTCGTGGGCTTCTTGTCGTCGATCACGGGGCGCTCTGCCGGCACCGCCGCTCCTTGGATCACGGCGTCGGCCGCGTAGGAGGCGGAGCCCATGGTCTGCCCCTCGCCGCTGAAGGCCGTGTACGCGGGCGGTGGGGGCGCCACGTAGTCCTCCGAGCGCTTGTCCACAAGGCTGATCTCCACGGGCTCGTTGCGGTTCTCGCCCTCGAGCTCCTGCGGCACATGGCTACATTGTATTGCATTGCATTGCAAGACCGAGTCAATACACCGTACGTACCGTACCCACTGTATCAATCAATGCAGCGCAATGGCTCACCCTCTCTCGAGCGCCTCGAGGAACGGCCGGTTGGCCGGGTCCGAGCGCGCGCGGTACGGGCCGTCGTTGACCGTGAAGCCCTCGCGGTAGAAGGTGATCACGTGGCGCGGCTGCGTGCTCTCGCCGGCCGCGGCGGCGGCGCGCGCGTCCTGCTGCGCCCGGCCGATGATGTTGGCCACGTGGTCGTCGCCGCCGCCCGGGCCGATGACCGACAGGCCGCTGCCGCCGCCGCGGTCCGACGCGCCGCCCGCGTAGTACTGGTTGGGCGTCTCGCCGTGCGCGCGCTGGTCGTCGTCGCCGCGGTTGTTGAGGCTCGAGAGCCCCACGATGTTGACCATGCTGACGTTAGTCTATGTAGTTTCTCTATCTAGCGGCGGTATCTGAAGTCTTATCGTCAACTTCTTCTAAGGCGAATTTTTCGGCAAGTCCACAAAATTCAGGTTAAGGACATGTCGGTGAAGCGCGGCGCCGGCGCCGGCAGCACCGGCAAGGCGTTCGTGGGGCAGATCTACGCGGCGCTGCAGGCTTCGAGTCGGTCGACGCCCACGATCAACGGCGTGGACTGCTCGCGTCTCTGGGTGCAGGTGAGACCGACCCAATGATTCCCACCCAGGCAGGTAGAGCTCATGCCTTCCGGTCTGCTCTGGCAGGGTGTCGTGGTCGCCACGTCCGAGGACCGCAGGCAGTGCACAATAGACGACGGCACGGGCGTCTTGCGCCTGGAGCTCAAGGTTTTCCTTAAGAACGCGCCTCCAGGGGTGGATGCACGGCCGCAATTGGGTAGGTCAATTGAACAGGTCAAAGATGAAGCTTTGTCAGGGTGCTGACTGGTTGAGTGTGTGTGTGTGTGTGACACAGGAGACTACATCATGGCGATCGGTCCCATGCAGAAGATGAAGGCGGACGCTGCGGGCTCCGTTCGCACCATGCTGGCTCATCAGGTCGTCAACCTTGACGCCAAGCTGCAGCGTGAACCCATGTGGTTCCTGGAAGTGGTCGAGTACTGGACGTCGGTTGCCGCCACCACTGCAACAAGTTGAGGCTCCCTTGGGCTTCCCAAGTATTTAATGCGAACGAGATACGTATGAAGCAGCTGTACATGCTCATTGTCGATCCTTGATGGGAACCTTAACTAACGAACGAACTATCAGCTAGTCTGTCTGCCTGTCAGCGGCCGGCGTCTTCTTCCTTCTTCTCTCTATCGATCCGCGCTTCACGCGTCCACACACGCGCGCAGCAGCAGCAAGACCTAAAGAGGCGCCACTCGAGCGAGGGAGCCGAGTTACTCGTCCTTGGGCTTCTGGCCAGTCTTCTTGGCCTCCGCGGCGGACGGCACGCGAGGCGGCAGCTCCTCGCCGTCCTTGTCCTCGCCCTCCTTCTTCTTCTCCGCCTCCTTCTCGTCCAGAGCCTTCTTGTACTGCGCCACGTCGTCCGCGCCGAGCCAGTAGTCCAGCATAGCAACCAAGATGGCCACGACGATGGCGATCACCAAGATGCCTGCCAGGACGGCCAGGACGGTGTGCTCCGTAGCCCACTCGATGGTGATGTCCACGATCTTGGAGAAGAAGCCCTCCTCCGGGATCGGGCCAGTCGACTCGGCCTTCTTCCAGCCGCTCTCCACGAAGTCGAGGAACCTACAAACCATCCAGCAGTCGCTCATTAGAGTCACAGCACACCGTTCACCTAGAACAAGTAGGAAACTTACGCGGGGAGCGAGCGTCCGCCCTTGTATCTGTACACCTGGCCTTCGTTGACGAAGACGAGCGTCGGGTAGCCGTTGACGCCGAAGCGCGAGCACACGCGGCGGTGCACCGTGCAGTCCACCTTGGCGACGCGCGTCTTGCTGCCGTTCTCCTTGAGCGTGCGGCTCAGCTTGTTCCAGGTAGGAGCCTGCAAGGAGGAACACCACCACGTCAACCTCCACACCTCAAACCACTTATCATCAAGATCCAACGTACCAGACGCTTGCAGTGTCCGCACCAGGGCGCGTAGAACTTGATGAGCCACGGGTCCTTGCTGTTGAGTACCTCGTCCTCGAACGAAGCGGTCGAAAGGTGCACCACGGCGCTCTTGCGCTCGTTCTCCGCCTGCTCAGCAGCCGCCGCCTTGCGCTGCTCCACTGCTTATAGCAACCACCATCAGATCCTCCTCCTTAACTGCAATACATCCATAGCAGATAACTCCGTACCGAACTCGGCGTACGACAGCACGCGCTCGCCAAAGTCCTTCTTGTAGCCCTCGGTGGAGAACGCCACCATGGCGGGCACGTCGCGGCGACCGTTGTAGTCGTACGACTTGCCGCCCGTCACCACCTTGAGCGTGGGGTACGAGCCCACGCTGAAGCGCTCGCACACGGTCCTCTCGGTGGTGCAGTCCACCTTGGCCACGTGCACGTCCTTCTCCTAAAGGTAGAACGAGCGCCACGTCAGCACTTATTAGTCCACTCTATCACTCTACCGCATCCTTCCCCCTCTGCTGTTGCTGCTACGCACCGCCAGTCCCTCGGCCTCCGACAGCTCGTCGATCGTGGGCGCCAGCTTCTTGCAGTGGCCGCACCAGGGCGCGTAGAACTTGATGAACCACACGCCGCTGCTCGTCTGGTGGTCGAACGTGGCCTCGGTGAGCGCCACGGGGGCGGCCTGCGCGCTCTGCGCCTGTGGTGGGTAGAACGAGGGAGGGCGTTAGTGCGTGGGTGGGAGGGTAGAACAGGGGAGAGCGGGGGGTCTACGCACCGCAAAGGCGACGGAGGCGAGCGCCAGCAACGCGGCTCGGAACTGCATCGGTCGGTCGCTAACGTTACGGGGGGAACTTGTCGTGTTGCGTACTGAGCGGCCGAGGCAATCCCTCTCGGATCTGATCGAGTGGTGTGACGTACACAACGGGAGGTTGAAGTGTCGGCTTGGTAGGGCTGGTGGACGATTTGCCGACCGGGTTTCGTGTGCGCTCGTGGTGCCGCACATCGCGGCTTGCGGCTCCGATAGCGGCGACACCGTTGCCTCGGCCAGCTACATGTATCGAGGTGCTCTTATCCGAAGCTCTCGGTGGCGAATCAAGCTGCTGAATCGATATCGTTGATTCTTCCGAGGCAAGTCATCACGGGTGATACAAGCAGTTGAGTTTGTATGTATTGTGCCTTGCATTTGTAGTGTCCTTCGTTTTGAATGCGAGCATCGAGACGTTGACATTGTGAGTAACTGCTTGAAGGGAAGTAATTTGGGCAATGATGGAATACAGTGTCTTCGAATTCGTAGGTGCATGTAGCATGGAGCTCCAGTGTGCTAAGGCTGCTGTTGCAATAGTACAAGCGTGTTGCAAGCAACCATACACGCGGCACGCGAGTAGGCATACCCAGGTCTATGGCTTATCGTTCCTGCGTCGTAACTTTCCCGTAATTTTTTTGGGTATTTTGGACGTAATTTATATTGTGTGTATTTTATTTCGTGATCGTCGCGCAACTAAATGACGCCGACGGCGCCGCTGCCGCCCGAGTGGCTCGTGCGCGTGTCCCGCTCCAAGGGCAAAGTCTACTACTACCACACGCTCACCAGGAAGACGCAGTGGTCTCGCCCCACGCCCGAGGAGGTCGCAGCCGCCAACGCTGCAGTCGCCGCAGAGGCACAGGAGCAGCAGGTCAATGACGACCCCTCCACCAATTCCGACACCGAAGCGCGCGACGCCAAGCGCCCGAAACTGGACAACGACCATGAAACGACAGTTGTAGAGCACAAGCAGAGCGTGCTCCACGCGCTCATCGTCGCCTCCATGCGCGTCGGGGGCAGCTCCGTGACCCGCGGGACCAAGAGGGCGGTGGTCTTCACCCCGTGGACGCACCAGTTGACGGCCGTGGAGAACGTCATCACTGCCATCCAGACGCGGACAGTGGAGGACGATGCAGCGTCCACAACGGCAGAGCGGTTCCTATTGCAGCACAGCACGGGAGCAGGCAAGACGCTGACTATCGCCGCATTATCACACCAGCTACTGTACGTCAAGGACGCGCGGTCCCTGCGGTTCCACACGGTGGTGGTCATGCTGGACCGAGTCAAGCTCAACGAGCAGGTAGGAGACGCCGTGGAGAGGTACCTGCAGCAGAACGGCGTGGACGAAGTCTTCCGCGCCGAGAGCATCGAGCACCTGGCGGGGCTGCTGGACGCGTCGGCGCAGAAGCAGCAGCAGAGTCCGCAGCGGGTGATTATCACCACGACCCACAAGATGGGGCTGCTCGTGAGAGACGATGTGCTGCTGACGAGGCTGCTGCACCGCAGCTCGAGTGCCAAGCGGGGCGCTGGTGAGGGGGCGGATGAGGAGGAGAGTGGGGACGACGCATTCCAGCGCGTTGCCATCATCACGGACGAAGCGCATCGTTCGCACACGTCGTCTACGCGCGACGCCATTGAGAAGGTCATGAAGGCAGGGGAAGGCAGCCAGGCCCAGCTTACGGTATGTTGTGCGACTGTACACTCTCTTTCGTTTACCTTCACAGCTAATGACTTGTGTGTGTGTGCAGTTCATAGGTTTTACGGCAACACCGAATACAGATGCGCTCGAGCTGTTTGGCTCCTCCACTGACGACGGGTTCCGACACCCGTTCCACTGCTACCCCATTGCGCAAGCTACAGAGGATGGTCGCATCATGAATACGCTTGATAACTACACGTGTATGAGCTGCGAGGTGGAGACGTCGGTGTTTCCGAAGCTAGTTCAGGAGTTGTTGCGGACGACTCGAGGCGTTCGGCGGCGTATTATTGACCATGCAAGTGACGACGTCGCCGTACTCAAAGCCAAAGCTTTGGTCATGATGACGGACTTTCAGGCCATGAAGCGAGACCATCCCAAGGTGAAGTGCATGATCGTGGTCCGCAGTCGCCAGGATGTCGTGCGCTACTACACGCTAATCACCACGTTCGTCAAAAAGAAGAAGCTCGGCTGGAATTGCTACGCTGCCTTCAGTGGGTCGGTGGCTTTAGACGGTGAAGACTCTAAGCCCGTAACAGAGCAGACGCTGAACGATCGGAGCGTCACGCTGGCCATCAGCGACATTGTCGTTGTCTGTGATAAGCTAGATACGGGCTACAACGAACCGCTGCTGGCGTGTATGTACGTGGACCGCTACTTACGCTCAAGTGCGCACACGGTGCAGCTTCTCAGTCGTTTGAATCGTCGCCACAAGCACAAGCCCAGCGTCCGCGTCCTCGACTTCGCCAACAACGCAGCTCAGGTACGGCGCGGTTTCGCCGATTTCTGGCAAGAAGCCAAGACGCCGGAGTCGTCTGATGTGATCGACGAAGCGGCCGAGAAGATGGATCTAGTGACGGCCATCGCTGTGCTCTGTGACCACTTCCCGGATCTTTGTACTGCCCCGATCGATATTGAGGATCCGCGGAGCTTTGTGTCGGAACGCATATTACCGTTAGAGCGCGACGCTTTCCAGCAAGTTGTGGACTCGCTTCGTGGGGCTGTAATAGCCTTCAAGAGGCTAGAGCAGGCTGGATGTGATGAATTCTTCGACTTGGTTTCTCCGTTCAGGTATGGATCTCATGGTGTACTTGTTGAAAGCGGCATGGTTGCTAATAGCGTTATTGCCCGTGTTGGTGTGTCCGTAGCTACTATTTACTCTACGAGCTCAAGAAGGAGACCGAAAGCCACCTTGTTGCGGTAGAAGCGGAGGTTGATCTGTCTCTGGATGACATCAAAGCGAAGATGTCAGCTCGAATGCGGAAGTGCCACAAGTCATATTCCGGTTCACTGTATCCCCAATCGCTCTTGGTACGTCGAGTTCTTTGCCTTGCTGTTAGTGCAGTTGGTCTTACCAATGAAAATGTGGACTTGTAGGATCGTGTACAGTTCAGTGCGAAGTTAAGCAAGCTGGTGTCGTGCTTGCTGCAGTTCGGAGAACTGGAACGGTTTGAGGCTTTGCTGATAGCTAACGCCGCTCGAAACAACAAGCAGTCTCTGGAATCCTCTGTAGCGGCGCAAGTGGCCAAGGGAGTCACCAGATCTCCAGCATCCGCTGGAAAGGCAGCAGATGAGGTGCCCCGTATCTCGACTCAAATCGACGATATGCGAGAGGAGCTCGCTGGTTTTGAGGGAGATTAAAGGGAATAACGCATTACTGGTCAGTCTAATCCGTCTCGTGTTCGTTTAATTTCCTCTAGCAGCGAAGAGAACCCGCGATAGAGCTCCTGGAATCCCTCCAGTGAATAGGCACAGATATCGAGCGTCCGCGTAGGCGTGAGGATCGACAAGCACACGCACTCGCTCGACTTGTTGGCAGCAGCTCGACGGAACACTGTCGTCTGCTTCCCCGTCACGATCGCGGTGATGCTGTCGACTGGGATGCTCTTGCTGTGATAAAATAGGCTGGAACGGTGGTGCAGCTGATCGTCAAGCTGGTCGTAATGATCGTTGGCCCCCGTTGCTGAGGGTTTTCGCCACATGATGTGCGTGCAGAGCGCATCGGTGAAAAGGACTTTCGCGTGTGGCTTCCCGAGCCGACCATGCTAGCATAGTAAAACAAACAAAAAACAAGCCAAAAAGTATTTGTAAGATATTCTGTAGTATACATTCAAGGAAAACGAGATTTCAGGAATACGAATCGTCTTACCTTCTCAACAAGGAACCCGCGCTGGAGTTTCCGTTTGAACTGGTCGACTTCGCTCTCCTGTTGAGAAGGGACGGCACGCTCCGTAGGAACTGTAGTAGTGTCCTCTTCGTGGTTACTTGATGCACTGTGTTGGTCGTCATTACGCGGAGAGGATGCATGATGGTATGGTACTGGAGTGGGTACGGGGGATGTCGATGATAAATGCCCCCTTCGTCCCTCTCCACGATCTTGAGTCGGGCGAACAAGCTGCTGCAAAGCGCTGAAGAATTCGTCGTGCTGCACAGAGTGGGAGAACTGAAAGTGGATGCTTTCGCTGCCGAAATTCAGCTGAAGACGGCGCTGTTTGATGTCACCTGGATTGTCAAGAGCGACGCTCGTAATGTCTGCGATGCTCATGTTCAGGGCTGCCAATGCTACGGTCCGTCGCTCCCAAGTGAGAGTCGACAGGTCCGTAGAAACGAACATCTTCCCTTCACACCACCCCTCCCATGCGCCTCGCTGTAGTTCATAGCTTTGGTTGGTAAAACCGACAATGGTTTTGAAAGTGGGTAAAGGTGTTGAACTTACCGAGTCGATAGAAATCCCTGCGATCAGAACTTTGGCTTGATCTGGTGTCAACATTGGGTCGTGGGATTCTTGGTACTGTCTTCTGTCTTCGTTCTGGTCGTTGATCTCCTGGGGCCATGATCCCCGAGGGTGGTTTCCGGAGGAGTTTTGATCTAGTACCTCATTTTTCACGTTTTCGTCGTTGTGGGGAGGCGTACCGCATTCCCCTGCTGAGCTGTCGCGTTTAGTTCCCCGATCGTCATCGCTGTCGGCATCGTGGTGTGAGCTCAGGATGTGATTGTCGGACGTATCAAACAACCACGCGTCGTCTACGGTGTCTGCACTCCCCAGCGCTTCACTCATCGCAGTGTCAAAGATCGAGATCGTAGTCTCCGTGTCAGCTCTTTGAGCATTCACAACACCCCCGTGCTCACTTCGACTCGCACTTTTCGGGCCGTCGATGTAGCTGCCGACGCTTTCATTGTTTGGGCTACGACGTGGGGATTCAACCACGTCACTCATCGGTGAATGCAGCGCAAATCTCGGGGCGCTTCCGGGACTGATCACAGCGGGGCTCATAGCGTTCGCTTCATCGCCAACCCAGAAAATGTCTAGCTCCGACTGACTGAGAGGCCAGACAAATGTTCGGTTGGGTCGATCTGCTTGGAGGGATTGTTCACTCGGCGTTGGGGACAGCAACTCTTGACCTCGAATTGGTGATTCCACCACCTTCTCATTTGGCGAGCTCTTCAAGCTGGAGAATATTCTAGCTAAACAACAGATCAGCATTTACAGGCAGATACGCCAGGCAATTTGTCGTGGTAAAGAAAGAAAAGAATAGTTTACCTGTAGGCGACGAAGCTGCAGACGAAAGCTTCACTGATCCAGGATCCGGTTCGTCAAAAACCGGTAACTCCAAGACTTCGGGATTTTGTGCGTCGGTCTCCGAGTCTGTAGCAGCCTTAGATGCGATACTTGTTCGTGAGCTGCTCCGCGGTAATGTGCTAACTCCGGCCAATGCGATTTGGAACAACACACTAGCTGCTGACTTTAATCCATCATGCTGGGTGTTGACCGAAGACAGGGTCATTGGCGCTTCGACTACTGCAGGCTGATCACTCAGGACTTGGTGGTTGCTTTGGTCAGTTGGGGCAGCCACAGGCTGGTCGTCCATGTACTTCTGGTACATTTGCGTCTTCATGAACACATTTACAAACCGCCTTTCATTCGCGTATAGTTCAGAGTTTCCATTCGCACATACACTAATCAAGTGTTCGATATGCCGGCGAACGCGGTGAATCACCAGGTGCGTCGATAAAGGCGTGACGTTGTCTCGGAACGAACCTGTCACGCGACCCAGCATTTCTTTGGTAAATCTCGTGAGATCACACGAGAGATTTTCGACTTCAGGCATCTGTAGTGCCTCAAATGAACGTGCATCTTCGATGTGCAGCTGCACTCGACTCTCAGTTAGATAGAGGATGCAAGTGCCTTTCGAGCACTCAAAGTCACGAGGAAGTTCGTCAACGCCGCAGATTAGGGGGACAGGGGCCTTAGAAATACACAGTCGAGGTCAGTCGAGGTTATTATAAATGAACCAAAGCTGAGGGGAAAATGTAGCAGACGCACCTCCATATACTCGTGCATTGAGGGAGGTAGCACGCTGATTAGCGGTCCGGCCCACCCGAGTGGATGCAACAGCGACGCCAACCCTAGCGTTGCAGCGGATAGCAGAGGGATTTCATCCGAGACGACGATAAACTTCATCTCGACGAGCAAGAGGCTCAAAATCTGTAGTAGGCGATCAACTGAGACCCGAGACAGCAGCGACGGCAGTGCCCACTGTAACAACAGTGCAACCTTCTCATCCGCATCATTTTCTTTGTGTGGTCGGGTCAATATCAATTCGGGACTTGGCGATGGGAACACGTTGACAGACACTGAAAGGCCTTTGTCGGGAAGAGGGATCGACTTTAGGTTTTGCAGAGTATCGTCGATGTAGCCTGCATGCTGAAAAATAATTAATACATAAATCTCAGCTTTTACGTTGCAAACGCTGAAAACCTAAAATGTTCCCACCTTATCTGTTACGATGCTGGTTAAAGACTGAGACCCGCTGCATCCATGTGCTTCGAGTTCATTCCGCAGGTTATCTGTTTTATGGCAAAAGTACATACTACATCAGATAAACAGTTTGATCAAGTTGTACCAAAAATATAGTTTACGCTTACCCAAAAGTCCCTGTAGTACAGCTCGAAAGAATGGAATGAAGGGGATTTGAGCAATCATGCAGTAACAAATCGGCAGTAGCAGAAATTTCCCATCGCCGCTACCATCTCGAACTTGCACTGTTCCCTTCATGCACATCGCATATTGAACACTCTGGCCTTGGACGCCTCCACCAGAAATCATTAACACAAAAAACTCCCCCTCTTGAGAGGATAACGAAGAGCTGGTACTATGAGCTTCGGAAAGTTTTTCCACGTTGGTACCGGCATTGGCATTGACAGCTTTGATTCCGGTGGGAAAGCAAAAGTGCTCGAGACTCTCGGCGCGGAATTGGCTCTCTGGCGGGTGGGCAAATGCGACGGTCGCCTCGAACACATTTTCACGTAGGCTCCAGAAGTTGCGGATCGTAACATCCACCATATCCGGAGCGATGACGACCAGGTAATCGAACAGGGCAGGCGATGAGAGCGACAGTGTATCGCTAGGCTTCTGCTACATTGAAGTCGAGGTTAGTTTGGTCAGTCAGTGTGGGTGTGTACGAATTCCCAACTTCATACCTCAATATTTTTTGCAGCCGCAACGTCCTCGCCCCTACTGTAGTTGAGATAGGCAAGCTCGCTCATGAGGGAGTTCTCAAGAACGTCCAGCGAGCTGTACATGTCGTCAAACAGGCCATACTCCTTCGAATTGTCGCGTTTATCGGGTGAAGTGTTGATCTGCGCAACGTTGATGCCGTTGTGTTCCAGCCACGTGTTGATTGCGAGGTATCTCTCCATGTCCACCACAGTCACTACGGGTTGCCGCCTGGGTGACCCGTTCACCGATTGCCCTCTGTGGGGAGTGCGACGCCCACTATCGCCTGCATACGGCCCCTGCGCGTACTTGTCTGGGCTGGGCCGTCGACTCCACGGAGATGAAGGCGGCGATTCGACGAACGCTCGGTCTGGTAGCGGCGACTTGGGCTTGGGGCTCCACTTCTCTCGGAGGTGGTTGATCTGCTTCACCCTGTATCAAGTCGACAACTACATAGCTCAGTCCATGGCACCCACATCAACAATCACTGCAGCTCGCGCTCACCTGCCCATGCCACTGAAGATGGACTTTTGTCTGCCGACGCTGCCCGAGTCCTCCTCACTGTCGCTCATCGTGGGTCGAATAGAAGACTGACTGGCTGTAAGAATGAGGTTTTGGCTTGGTCAACGCGCGGAGCTCGTGGGCATCTCGGACTGCAGGCACGGAATTGGAAAATCGCCGAGCAGAGGCACACGCCACCGTTCCAACGGACGGTTCCGACCCAAATTAGCTTGATGATGATGATGGAGCGTTTGAACATTTTCGTGGCGGATGGAGGACCACGACGCGGTTGATGGCGCCGGTGTCAATTGCCAAACTGGTAAAACGCACAGTGCCATCTAGAGCGTGCCTTGCCTAATTGAGTCGGGGTTGCTTCAATTGGACGTTTGTGAGCTCCCGGTGGTCGCGTAGCCAACCCCATTGACTCCGACGCTGAGCTGTAAAAGTAGCAGGACAAGGGGTCAGTCCACACAGAGCAGCGATCGCTCCGAGAGCTTAACGTTTAGACAGTACCGGATCATGAGCAGTCTTCATTCAGCAGCGTCACGTCGCCAGCATACTCAACCACTGTGCGACGGAAAATGCCACGCACAGAGCTGTTCGCTCAGCATCTCCGCGTCCCGACGTAGAGGATACGGTCGGTGTCATGCAGCAGGTCGCATCACGGCAGATCGGGGACGCCCAGTTCGTTTGTGACCGCCGGTCCTCACGTGTCAACGTTGACACGTCAGTCGCCACTTCAACTTCAGAATACCGCGGATGTCACCCGAAGGTCGCTGCAAAGTATCGTATTGTCTCAATATCTGTCATCTAGTATCCTTGATATTCCACTCGCACTTCTCCATGCATCGAATACAAATACCAAGTCAATATTTTCTTCACTCTAGAACTTTATTAAACGAACCTACTCATCGCTCACGGTACTGTGTCGACGCAGCCTTGAACAAGAACCCCGGTCAAACGGCAACAGAATGGCCAGCGCACTGAGCTCCTCGTCGGCGCCCGCCAAGCCCTGGGAGAAGCGCCAGAGCACCGCCGCCCAAGCAGGTGCGCTCTACACGTAGTACGCCCTACCTGACCATCACTCTCACGCTCTCTTATCCCCTATTATTCTGCTTCAGGCGGCGACTTGTTGGCGTCTGCTGGTGTCGCGCCGCAGTCTTCGGGAGCTGCGACGGCCTCCCGCGTGGCCGCAGGCGCCACCGCCGCGTCTTCGTCTCTTGCAGCGGGAATCTCTTCGCTCTCCAGCGCCTCCACAGCCATGAACGCGGCGTCCACCACCTCTCAATACGGAACAGGTGCTGCTGCTGCTGCTGCTACGGGCTATGGGGCCACGGGGTACGGCGCTGCTGGAGGTTACGGCACTACTGGCTACGGCACGGGGCTGGGCTCGACGTACGGGTCGGGGTACGGCGGCATTGGAGGGTACGGAGGAGGCTACGGGGGCATCGGCTCGTACGGCGGCATGGGCGGCTATGGAGGCGGCTATGGCAGCTACGGGGGCATGTCGAGAATGGGCTACGGGGGCATGATGGGCGGCGCCATGGGCGGCATGATGGACCCGAACGGCGGCGGCCTGGGCTGGCTCGCGAGCTTCAACCAGATCGTGAGCTCCATCGGGCAGATCACGGAGCTGCTCGGCATGAACGCGGAGGCGCTCAACTTCTGCATCGGTACGGTACTTTGCGGCAACTTCCAGTATGAGTTGCAGAGCGTGCTTGTTGCTAACTCGTTGATGTTTGTGATGTTTAGGGAGCTTCGTGCACTTCTTGGAGAGGATAGGGGCCATGTGCGCCGGCATCGCGGCCATGCTGGCGCCTCGGCCCGTGTTCCCGCCCGGCCACCCGCGGCACGGCGAGCCGCCTGTGACCGAGGAGGAGGAGAAGAGCCGGTTGCGCCGCGTGCGCATCTTCCAGTTCATGGTGAGCATGGCGGCGCTCGGGTGCGTGTACAAGGGGCTGCGGTGGCTCGCGCGGCTGCGCTCCCCCAAGGCGCCGGCCAAGCTGCTGGTGGCACCGCCCAGCGTCGGCATGGGGCGGGACCTGGAGAACATTTTCCAGCGCACAGTGGGCGTCAACCGCTTCTGAGTCGGTCGCGTGTAAAGAAGACAGAGAGAAGCGTTAGTGCTGTCTGTAGTTGTAGAGCAGGAGCTGTATCAAGCAAGGCTCAAGTCGCTGGCTCAAGTTTATATATTCTCACTTCAAGGGCCGCCTGCCTGTATTGCTTCGTCCTCCTCATCCTCCGCTGATGGGCGGGATCAGCGCCACTTCGTCTCCGTCGTCGAGGGGCGAGTCGTCCTCCGAGTACTCGAGGTTGCGCGCCAGCGTGATGCTCTCGATGGTGGCCGCCGCATGCGGGTACTTGTCCACCAGAACGCGGCGCAGCGAGGCCAGCGTGGCCGAGTTCTTGTCGCCGTCCACGGGGAGCTGCAGCTTCTCCTCGCGCAGGCCGATCTCCTCTCGCGCCGACGCGAAGTACAACACCTTGACCTCCAGCATCGTCGTCATGCTTGGAAATCGTGTACCCATCTCTGTACTGCTTTAAGTGGTGTAGCTCTACATCACGACATGGATCCCGCGGATCCTGAAGGGCTGCGGCGGTCGGATCGAGCGGCTGGCAGTGAGTGAGCGAGTGGGTGAGTGAGATGGCGACCAAGGACAAGGACAAGGATGGAGCCTCGGCCGGGCGGAAGCCGTGGCGCTACTACTACGTGATGGCGCTCCCGCTCGGCGGCAGCAGCGGCGTCACGCAGGACAAGGTCGGTGGATGGCTACATTTGTATCTGCGACGTGTGCCAAAAGCTTACTAATGACTGTGTTGTGCTTCTAGCTCCAAGAGATCACGGAGATGACGGCGGCCATCGAGCAGCGCGAGGAAGAGTACCTGCACAAGGTGGCGGCCAGGAACGCGGCGCAGGCAGCAGCAGTGGAGGCGGAGCGGGAGGCTGCGGAGGGCAAGCAGAAGGCGCCCATGGCGTCGCATGTGGCGCGGGCTCTACGTCGGCTTCATGTGGTGTCAGCAGTATTGCTGCTAGTGGCGGTGGTGGTGCTCTACGCGTGGTACATGCACGACGACGGGCGTGATCACGTTCCCCCGTCACTCGTGAGAGCAGCCGTGACAGGCGTGGGGGTTCTACTGGCGGTGAATGTCGCTGGATGGATGGCGGCCTGGAAATGCAGCGTCAACGGCGCTCGGCTGCTGCTGTTGGTTAGTCTTGCTATGATCATTGGCTTGGTGTTGGGATTGGATGAGCTGACCATCATCCGAAGGAGTCAGAGCAAGTTGAACGAAGCTCTTGCAAGCAGAGAGGATGCGCTCACGCCGAACACGATCGCCTTGATCCTCAACGGAGGCACCACGCCCTCCCTCGTGCAAAGGTTCGTGTTTGATGCGCCTGCTGTCTTCATCTGGTGGTTGAGAGAGCACTGCATCGATTCGGCAGGGACGAAGCTCAGCTACGAGTCGGTGGTCATTGATCGGCGTGAGTTCTTCTCCCCGTTGTGGAATGATAATGCCAAGTCTTGTGCCGCTGCTGCGCTGGGGACGTGCATCCGAGTCAACGAGATTGCTGAGCCCATTATCATCGGTGAAATTGTGCTGCTAGTGCTTCAAGTACTCTTCACGGGATTGTTTCTGGCTGTGAGTGGGCCATCCACCACTAGGAGGACAACAAAACAGCGGAGACAGCCTTCTCTTATGAAGCCTTCTTCAAGTTACTCGCAAGCTTCTTCATCAACAACGCTATCGACAGCGTTGTTCACTCGTCTACTGGTGTTGGCCACTGCAGTGTTCGGCTATTCGAATGCAATCGCGAGCTCGAATCTGCTGAGCTTCTGCTCGATTGTCGATTTTCACGCAATTTTCACGTGGATTGTGATCGTGGGTCTCCTGTCTGGATTATCTGCAAATATCGCAGCTCTCTTTGTTGGTTGTGGGTGGAAGAAGCAGCTAGCAGGTGTGCTGTTAGTGCTGGCCGTCGCGTCTGAAGTGTTCATGCTGGCAGAGTTCATCAACATTGCTGCCAGGCTCATCGGGCCTGATGTCGCCGCTGAGATTGACCAGACACGGGTACAAGAACTTCGAGACGTGTACGTGAAGATGTCGGGTCAAACCTGCTCGTCTATCAAGCGGTGGATCTCCCATGTGTGCGTGGGAATATCCTCCAGCAACAGTCCGGCAGAGTTTGATTCATCCTGCCAACATGAATTTGTGGCTCTCTTGGCGGCGTCTTTCAACTTTACCGATAGGTACCTGGCATGGTCGATAGGAATCAAGCTGGTTCTGCTGGTGCAGCTTATTCTACCAGCACTTCGCCAAGCTGTGACGAATGCGTTGAATTATCTGTGCTGCATTTCGTCATCACGGGACGAGATATCTACTGGAGCTATAGAGCTCAGCCTGCAGCAATCGTTGCCTCCAGTTGACTACGATAAAGCGCTGAGCATGTACCTGTCCTCGGTTCGAGTGAGGGACCCAGATCGTTTGGCAGCTGAACGCGAGGCTTTTGAGAGGGAATGGGCTATTCGGACAGGTCGAACGCTGGCAGATATACGCACCCCGCGCGTGTTAGTTGCTGCCAGTGACTTCGGCGCGATTGTGCGCACCCTGATGCTGCGCCGGCTAACAGCGATCTGCAAGTTCGACTTGAGCATGAGCATGTCGAGCGACGGGAAAATGGTGCTCGTTCACATTTTCGCTTCTGACAATCTTCTGCTGGCAACACTGTGTGATATGGAGACGTACCGCCTGCAATTCGCAGACGCCATTGACCCAGGAAGGAGCTTCTGGCGCGACAAGAAGGAAGTGAACGCGGACCAGAAGGTGCTCGACGCGAATACGGTGAAGCACAAGTTGAAGCTGCTGTTAGCTGACAACGCCATGCATCCGAAAGAAGCTGTTTGGTTTTCTGGTGAGTCTTTGGCGCGCGTTTCCGCTCGTATCCAGGCACTTTCACGACTATCGCGCGTCTCTAAAGGGACAATTCGTTGTTGCAATCCCGCTCCAGCGTTCGCCAGCTACTCGCCGAGCATCCAGCGTCAGTTTATCTACAAGAAGTACCCGAATCGACTCGAGATACCAGACACGTACCGACGCTCGGTCGTGCTGCGGACAGTCGACTGCATCCGTATCACGCGATATGTTATCGAGGCTGAATTCAACACGAACGCCGCGATTTCCAGTGGCCTAGTGTCGTCGTTGCATTGTCTTCACAGCTCCAGTCGGTTTGATTTCAACTCTCGTGGGGCGCTCGCTTCGGCGTGGGTAACATTCTGGCGGCCGGTTCACCTCCCAGGGGAGTTTTGGCCGGACGAGCGTCCTATACTGAACTTGTTGGGTCGTGCTGCTCCATTCCGCCAGCCGCTGCATGCTGTACGGGATTATTTCGGAGAGAAGATCGGCTTCTACTTCGCGTGGATTGCGTTCTACGGGAAAATAATTGTTATTCCTGCGTTTGCTGCTGTCATTGTGATAGTGTTTCCAGCAGGACACTCGTCGGTCTCCGCGTTGTGGATATTTTTCACGTCTCCGCACCAAAGTCACACTGACAATGCGATGGTATCTGAAGGAGTCGACAAGATTGGAGCAACACTTTCGTTGTCAGAGCTGGTGTTGGGAGCATTGGTGATTGCTTGGAGCTTTGGATTCGCCAAGCTGTGGGAGCGTAGGAGTGTGTGGTATCAGCTTCAGTGGGGGGTTGCTACGAGCGATACTGTCCGCAATGCGGACAATTTCCGTTTCGACGCCGACCATACCGTCGTGCAGAAGCCATCGCTATGCTCTGAGATTGCTTCTCTTCAGCGACAACTAGAGTCATGGATATGCGTCCTGGTACTGGGAATTGCCAATCTATTGATCGTACTCTCGATGCTGCTCAGTCAAGGGGTGCTCGTTGATGTTTACGGAGAGAAACTGGCAATCCTTGCTAGCTGTGTATGCCAAGCGTTCCTGGTTCAGTGGAATAGTGCCTGCATCCCTAGCGTGGCGCATGCCTTAACTAGGTGGGAGTACCCTCGCTATTCTAGCGACCATCCCGCGTACCGAAGTTGTGTTGTCGCCAAGCTGTTCATGTTGCAGCTCTTCAACACTTTTACTGGATTAACGCTCTTGCTGCTGAGTAGCGTTGGTGGATTGGAAATTCTGGCGCAGTTTGTAGTCCCGCTCCGTCCTCTGTATGTGTCGTACAACGCCCAAATTGAAGGGCACGTTGGTATCTTTATCCAGATGGAGACACTCATACTCGCGCTGTTTGCAGCACAACTGTGCACACGCATCGTCTTGATTCTGTCTGCCGCCAAGCGTTTCAATGAGATTCAGCGCGGTGAGCAGAGCTACGGCAGAACGAATCGCGAAGAGGAAACGACGCTGTCGACATACCCGGGACCTGACAAGGACTACGCGCAGATTGTGATGCAACTTGGGCTGGTTGTCATGTTTTCCAGTGCGTGCCCGTTGCTGCCGTTGCTCGCGTTGGCCGATTGTGGTGTGAAACTCCGGCAAAACGCCCTGGAACTGTGTTGCATTCGACAGCGACCGGAGCCTGAAGGAGTTCAATCTGATCAAGACAATGACGATGACATCGGCCTTGGCTTATGGGCCCCCTATGTGCTGCTCATGCTCAAAGTCTCAGTACCCATAGCGCTTGCGATTGTTGCGTTCACAGCGGACAACTTTGACGACGTCTCCATCGAGCGCCGAGTGGGTTGGTGGCTGGTTGGAGTGCTGGGTATTTGGCTGGTGGCCCAGCTTCTGTGGTTTTTGATCCCACGCGAAAGTCGCCAGGCGGAGGAAGCTCGTGCGCGCAACACGTTCCTCGTTGAGCGGTACTTTGGCCACGCCGAAGTGAACGAGCAGAAGGCGTCAGCGAAAGAAGAGCCCCACATTAAGAAAGAAGCTGCCAGTCTGCAGGAACCCCCTCCTTCTGCTCTGCAGTCACTGCATCACTACGAGGAGCGTTTGGAGTTGCTGCATCGGTTGAACGTGGCTCTGCGCAAAAGAGAAAAAATTCGCGTTCCTTTCGTTGCCACTGAAGAAGTGGTGATGTCTGCCGCCTCTGGTGAGAACCTTGAGCAAATGGCTCAAGAGGAAGCTACAAAGGAGCTGTTCCCGACCGAAGTGCAAGACGCTGAAGTGGACATGGGTCCTACACGCGATGGCGACGCGATGCAACGAGTGAGTGAAAGCAGTGATGAGATGATCGTTGGCTACTTCCGGCCGGTTCGGGGTGCGTGGCCTCCTCCACCAGAGCAACCAGCGGAGGAGGTTGAGGAAGTAAAGGAAGAAATACCGGTTGACATCGTCGAGTCTGTCGATATTGAAGCCCCAACGCTCCAGCCACCACGACGGGGGAGCGTGTTTCCGGGGCCACTCCCGCTTTCAGAACTGAAGCTCAGCGACAGTGGCGGTGAAGAAGTGAATGTCACTGGAAGCCAAGTCGCAAGAGGGGGGGACTCTGTCCGCCCCGCCCCGCTACGATTATCAAAGTTGTTCAAGCGAGTACCGGCATCAGCGCCTACTGTAGAGCCTTCGTCAGCATTCGACGACGAAGAAATGCCGGCGGCGGCGCTAACGTCCCCATTTGTACCAGCTGAGTCCTCCTATCCGCCGCCGGACCTTGATCCAGGCATGCTTGCACCAACGCAGCTATCGGCGGAGGGAGAAGTGCCAAGTCCCGAAGGATCACGCGGTGAGGAACTCCTTGAAGAGAAGCTGGAGCCGCCAGTACCGGCTGCTGAGGAGCCCAAGATTTCTATCGTTCCACCCGCACTCGAGGTAGATGCGCCGGCGCGTCCGTTCTCACCTCGACTGAGCTTCTTGCGACGAAAATCCAAGCCTCCACCATCTACACACGGCGACAACGATAGCGACAAAGGCAGTGAGGCTGAGGCTGAGGCTGAGGCTGGAGCTAGAGCTAGCGAGCAAACACTGCTCCGCCAGCTTTCGCCGCGGTTGAGTTTTCTAAGACGGAAGTCCAAGCGCTCGAGTTCGAAGGTCAATGAAGGCGAAGAGAGCAAGAGCAGTGTTGGTGAGGAGGTACCAGAACCAGGACCACCGGCGCCAAGGAAGTTGTCCAAGAGCTCCAGCTCCAAAGCAAGTGACAACGAAGAGCGCAAGAGCAGCGTTGTTGGAGCTAGCGTTAGTGTGCCGGAGCCTCCACCATCAAGGAAACTGTCCAAGCTGTTCAAGCGCGTTCAGCCTCCACCTACGGCTACCCCTCCGGCGGTAACTGAGACTCCACCACCCCCAAATCCACAACCCCCGCCGGTTGACACTGCCGCCTCTGCGTTTGAACGGACGGAGGTCGCAGACAGACCAGTACTGAATCGAAAGCCTTCGATTCGCGATCAGTTCGACTTTCTCTCCGACGCCCGTGCGTATTCAGCGACCCATTTGCTCTCAAATGGGGGGCATGTGTCATGACTGACTTGTGTGTTTCCTCTGTGGTGTAGATTCCGAAAGCACTTCAACGCAGAGATCCTCAATTCAAAGAAGAAGGTCAAGTGGAAGCTCTGAGCGGCCGCCATCACCGCCACCCGTGTACACAAAGGTCGATCTGTCAGGGCTTGAAGCCGTTCGCGAGGCTGCAAGCCGCCGCCAATTCGACTTCTCCGCTGACGACTAAGGTAAGCATACGACTGGACATGCGAATTGAAGCTTTCATCGATGATCAAAACCTGATTGAGTGTTCGTGTATTGGTGATGTGAATATGTCTCTTATCGACCCAGGTTGGGACGACTGAGCAGCTAGCGACAAAATGGCAGGGACAACCCCCCTTCAGCTCGGGGACATCGGCTGCAGCGGTGATGCCGGACGAAAGCTTGCAAGGAATGGAGCGGCGGTTGTAGCCTAAATGGTGACAAACGTTCAATAGGAGAGCGTCAGAAACTGTACGAGCTGATGATGCCTCGCAGTGGGTCTTACCTCGTCGCGATACCTGTGCTGCCGGATCTCCTGAAGCTGAGGCAGAAGCCCTTCCTGGTCTAGGATGATCTCCAGGCGCAGCGCCTTGTTGGCGCTCTTGCGGGATGTGTGCGTGACCCGCGAGGTGAATTCTGGCTTCGACGGAGACGATTTTGGCGGCGAGCGAGAGGTTTGCGCCTTGATCGCCAGTTGAAGCTGCTCCTGCTGCAGCAACTGCTGTCGGAATGGAGGTGAGAGCGGCAGGGACAGAACGTCTTCTCCTGGAGCAGCGCCGAAGAATCCGTCTTGGTCTCGAGCAGTGCGTCGTCGGATGTCCTGGTTACTGGGCAGCACAAACTTGGCCTGGAAATCTCGGCCTTTCGCCTGCGGAACCCATTTGATCGGCGACGTAGGCTCTCGGAAGTCGTGGTCGCTCGGAGCTCGGTACGGTGTGCGAGTGGCGGACGAGTTCAGCTGTGCGGCTTGAGTCGCCAACGCGAGTCTGGCAGCCACGGCTCCTTTTGCTGCCGCGATCGCAAACGGAGGGTAGCGGTCGGAGTCTCTGGGTGATCGATAGGATGGCTTCACGCGCCGAATATCGCGCTCGCGAGGTGAAGCCGATTGCTTCGCCTCGCCTGCCAACGCCTGCTCGAAGGTGGCAAACCGGCCTTGCGCGTCGAAAGAGCATCGCCCTTTGCTCTGCATTTCGTGAGCGAGTGCTACAGGCAGCTCCAACTGCAGCTTCACCACGGGAGTGCAGGCTTCCTGCTTGAACACACTCATGTTGACTGGGGACGAATGAATCGGAGCACACAGCAGGACACTTCACAACACCCAGTTAGCTGGCCATTAATAGACACCGGACCTCACCACGAATACGGCACAAGCTTTCTCGTTAAAAATAATGGGACGCACTCCCTATTTAGCCGCCGCTGCTCACTTTCAAACGCCTCCTCTAACAGCGGGGTCAATGAAGACAACGCGACCAATAGATCTCGGGGGTTCACTGCAATGCAGCTCTTGTGTCCTTGCTCCTAGCTATGCTTCGCACTGCGTGTTCCAGCGCCACTCGTACTGCTGCAGCGCGTTGGCGAAGTGCACGAGCGCGGCGGCCACGACGCAAATGTGCCAGAGCTGGTGGCTCGAGAACCACAGGTCGAAGCGCCCGGGGTAGAAGCGCTCCGGGAACTTGGTGGCGTAGATGATGGCGCCGCTCGTGTAGAGCAGCCCCATGAGCAGCAGCGGCCCGATCATGACTGTCACGTGCGGGTCGAAGAGCCCGAAGTGCCACACCAGGTGCGTGACCGGGACCACGCCGAAGAAGCCCAGCGCCAGGAAGATGCACGTGCGCGCCACGAGGAACTTGGGCGTGCTGAACACCGGCATGAGCGCCACAGTGAAGGTGAGCGCGGCCATGGTCGAGATGGACGCCAGGTAGGCGGTGCGCAGCCACGGGTGGCAGTAGAACGAGTAGTAGATCATGGGGTAGAAGGACCCGGCGATCAGGATCGTGATGCCGGCGTAGTCCAGCCGCGACAGGAACATGTAGGCCGGTCGGCTGATCACGAACATGAGGTGGAACGTGGCGCTGCACGTGAGGCAGACGACGGCGCTGGCCATGAACGCGAAGATCGGCCAGTGGGGAACGTCGTGCGGGCCCTCCGCGCTCGCCAGGATGTGCAGTCCGTTGCGAACGCTGTCCGCCACGCCGTTCAGCTCCTCCAGCGCGTACTTCATGGGCAGGTCGGCGCCCACCTGGCTGGCCACGTCCTGCAGGAACATCGACAGAGACTCGACGCGCTGGTCCAGCTGCATCTTGAGCGAGCGCACCTGCTCCGAGTGGGCGTCGCGCACGTGTCCTCCGAGCCGCGCCGACAGCGCGCCCAGCTCACTGCGCAGCAGCTCCATCTGGGCGCCCACCGAGTCCGAGAAGCCGCCCACGTTCTGCTCCACGAGCGCGTGGAAGCGCTCGAGACTGGGCAGGCGGTGCAGACTGTGGTCGAAGATGACGCTGGCCACCTCGTAGTACTTGGCGGGGGCCACGCGGCCCGTGGGCGGCGGGCAGAGCTCGGTCACGCCTGTGGCCAGCAGCATCCTGGGCGTGTGGTGGCCGGCCTCCATCCAGGGCTGGCCGTTGGCGCACCAGGCCTGCGGGGTAGTGAGGCCCGCGAGCGCGGCCGTGTCGGCGGCGGGCGCCAGCGCGTGGCCCGAGAGCGCCAGGTAGAGCATGAGCATGAGGAAGATGAAGGAGCCGACCATATGCGTCCAGACGTTGAGCGTCTCGTTGTGCAGCTCGAAGAGCGAGAGGAAGCACTCCTTGGCCGAGTAGTGCAGCCGGTAGCCCGAGCGGATGTACGAGTTGTCCGCCAGGTAGGCGAAGCCCTCGGCGTGCAGGCGCTCGAACGTGTGCAGCTTGTCGCTGGACGAGGAGGAGGAGGAGGAGGCCATGGCGTCGTCGTCCAGCGTCTGGCTCAGCTTGGGCTGCGTCTGCGACTTGAGCGACTTGGGCTCCGCCAGCAGCTTCTTGGAGTGGCTGCGCAGCAGCATGTGGTGGCCCGTTTCCATGTTGGCAGGGACCGTTGGCGCCCAGGCGTTGGACGTTACGCGCGCGCTGCTAAGTCCGGGAGCGAGTCACGCCACAGTCAGCGGCGCACTGCGGACTTCCTCGCTTGCTTGACGTGGGGACGAGGCGGAAGCTGGAATGACTGCGGGGTTCTGGCGACAAGCGGCCCTGACCCTGCGCCGTGTCGGCTCGATTTGGCCAATGGCAGCGCGAGTTGCTGGGTGGTGGCGCACACCAAGTTGTGTTCACCTGGTGTGCTGATGGCATTCTTCTATCCTTGTACCTGTCTGTACTGATAATTAAGGGTTGTAATCCATGAAACGTCTTGATAATGTCCGATCTAATTTATTCTGTGAATAGCGATGCTGTGTCATGCACTATACGATTATGTTTTGCAGGTACCGTGCCGCCTCGTCTCTCTTCACCTCACTTTGCGATAGCCGCGGCAATTCCACCGGTTTGCATGACACGCATCTTGGATCGGATCGGCAGAGAGGAGGGTCTTCAGCGTTCTGCTGCTCGCTGGCTGGGATGGCTGGCAACGCGAGGCGAAACTCAGCGCGGTGGGGATTCAACAAGGACTACATTTGTACCGCAGCGATGTTGGCCATACAATGCTTGGGATCCGTTAAACGTAATCAACCGTTTGTCTTGCTGTGCAACTTGCCGCTCACTGCGCGGATGAAGAAGTACCTGCTGGATCAACATCCACTTCAGAACGAGCATTTTTAGTGCGAGGACAGGTCCGAGACGTCGGACGAGATGGTCAGGTCGTCCATGATCTTGTGCACGAACTGCTCCGGGATCGGCTTCTCCACGTAGTCGTCTCTGCTTGCGCCCGCAGGGAACGCCACGTTCATCTCCGAGCTCTTGGACGTGACGAACTGCACCTCGCGGCCCTCCCACGAGATGTACATGAGGCAGCCGTCCGTCTTGATGGCCACGGACGGCACCACGCCCTTGCACTGCACCTGCACGCCCTTGCAGTTGACGATCTCGATGCTGGACACGGCGTTGTCGAAGATGAGCTTGGTCTTGTTGCACGAGTCGAACACGATATTCTTGGCCTTGCCCTCCAGCAGGATCGTGGCGCCCTCGCAGCCGAAGATGTACACCTGCTGCTTCATGTTGATGCCGCTCACGGTCAGCGGCTCGGGGCCGGTCTGGTACTCGATCTGCCAGTTGCCGTTGCGCTCTTCACACACAGCAGGCTTGGTGACCTTGACGGGCGCGGCGGGCTTCTTGATGGCAGCGGGGGCGGCCGGCGTGGGGACGTCGCCCTCGGGCTTGTAGTCCTTGCGCCAGGTCTGCATGTCCTTGGTGACCTTCTTGAGTCCGGCCGTCTTGCCACCGCTCTGGTCGATGGACTTGATGCCCGCGAAGACGCTGCCCATGCCGCCAGCAGGCGCCGCAGCCTTGGCGGGGGACGCCGCAGAAGCAGCAGCGGCAGGCGTGTAGCTGGCGACGTCGCCGCCCTTGGGGTTCCACGTGACTCCGGTGAGGCGGTAGATTTTGATGTACTCCGAAAGTTCTGTTAGCAAGCACTCCAAGGTGACCACGAAGGTAACATGGTCGGGGTTGGAAGCTTTGAAGCTCACGCGGATCTTGTTGCCCCAGAAGTCCAGGCCTTCGACAAACGAATCAACAAACGGCTTCGGTGTGCGATCAACGCACAACCAGCCGAGAGCTTGGAGTGCCTCGTAGATCATGTTCTGGTGGTTGGCGAAGTCACTGCCGTTGTCGCGGATACCGTTCGCCTCGTTGATGCAAGATTACACCTCGGACAAACTCTCGACTGTGGCCGGACTCGTTAATTGCGGTTTCTTGGTTTGGCTTGCCATCACCAAGAACGAGCGCTGTGCTGTAAAAAGCCTTCTCGAGTAGCTCGCCCAATTGGTGCGTGTGGTCTCCCAGTTTATCGCACGCGTCAAGGAAAGGAGGCAAGAACGCGTCCATGACCTCGTCGTAGGCCTGAATCTGAGGCGCCTCCCCTTTCGAATCAGCGCTTAAGCCCAGGTGGGCTTCGACGCGCGCCAGTCGAGCAGTGAGTTCGTCAATCAGGTTGTGTTGCAGCGGGACTTGATGAGTCATTGTGGTTGTTGGCCGTTGCTGTCTGGTTCGTGAATGCACCAGGCAAGAAACGCCAAGTAGTACACTTGACGGTTTTGAACGGAAAGCGGCCTAATCAACCGCACAAGTAAACATCGAAGTTAGACAAACACCGAGAAAACTATCGGTCCCATGTGTTAGCAACTTCACCCTTATGACAAGCGGCGCGCACACTTGCCGCGCCAACTATTTCACCATGTTCTCGAGTTTCACCGACGAAGTCGCACCACGAGAGGGAGTAATAATGCCTTGGGCCTGGACCATACAATGGGCTTCGTGTAGATGAAGTCCTACACGAAGTCCTACATGTATCAATCTCCAACTATAGTAACTTCAGTATAGAGATTTGTTCTCCGGCGTAACCACCATTTCTCATAACAAATTTTGATCGACCCAATACAACGACACAATCCAACAGTGTATCAACGCTTTTGACTGAGAAAGCGCAGCATCTCAAATATTCGCCCACTTCTCGCACGGCGGGTGCCGTCGGTAGTAGACTCTACCGATAGATAAAATAGCTTTCGTGGCCACAGGGCCTACTGTAATGGCTCGCCCAGATTGGCGTCTGCTCCCACCTAGATTGCCGCCTGTGTTCATGACGACGAAGGCAGTATGCTGCTGCCTTGCGGTAGACTAGGTGGAAGATTTTTAAATGGGTCTTATGCAGAACAGGTCTTGGATTTGCTCAGAGGGTACTTTTTTCATGATCTCGTGATTGGCTCACATTCGCCATGTTTTGATCGCAAGAGCCGACACTACGAAAGTTGCCGAGCCTCAGCGCAGTGGCTGCCACGGCACCGGCAAGCATCCTCGACATGCCAGCTCCTCGGTGATGTCGAGCTTTCCAGCCCTAACTGTCCAGCACGTCATGGAGTGAGCCCCCTCTCCACCTACCGGCAACCACAGCGTGAGCTGGGAGATGCAGGTGCAGCAGCAGCAATAGCAGCCGGCGGCGCACCTACGGAAAGCGCGCGCGGCCTCCGCGGGCTTGTCACCGGAAAAGTCGCCGTTGGACACGAGACAGCGGATGCATTTCAAGGAGGAGGAGGACGCAGGCACGCCCACCGTGCATCGCGCCCGACTGACCACGCACCCTGTGATCAAAAGTTCCTACGCGCAGCGGAGCCCATCTCGAGGCTGTTGATGCCACCCGAGCCAGTGGACACCGCCAGCGCTGTGATGGTGTGCATGCTGTGGTATCGATATGGATAGGGGGATCCCAGACGCAGGAGGAAAATGGCGTCCAACAGAGTTTCGCTGCATGAGCGACTTCATCGGCGAGTGCTGCTCTCTAGGTCTGCGTCCCCCTCCGACGGCCGACCGGGTGGTGGCCTACTGCTTCGCCGCCCACGAGCACCTCGGACGGAGACATGGGGGGTCGAGCTGCTTCGCTTGAACCTCGAGTCCAGTCCCGCCATGTGCTACGACGTTGTCTACAGTGACTACAAACGAGAAGAGTGAGGAAACCAAGTCAAGATGGAGGCCTGCACTCCCACGTCCGCACCAGCCTCAGAATGACGACGACAGCAGCCTCAAGCCCGCTCCACGCTTCGTGCTGCTCGACATGTGTACAAACTCTGCGGCGAGGATACGGACAGCGACGCGTTGGTGGGCAAGGCGCAGCTCGCCGTAGCTCACACAGACGTTCGAGCTGTTTATAATGAGCGAGGACAAAGAGAGCGACATTGTAGTAAAGATCAAGTTTCGCCGCCCTGATTCAAGTAGAAGGATAGTAAAGTCTGCATACTACGTAGTTTTCATATCGACACGAATATAATTGCTTCGAAGTTCGAAGTTCGAACACTATGTATTGCTCCGAAGTTATGCAAACATATGCGTCTTTGACAGCTTCTTCAGCAGCGTTGTGCACTTCGGGTACGTGGTTGTACTTTACTACGCCTTAGTAAAGCAATCGGATATCCTAGTTACTGGGATTACACGTATCGGTGCCCTGTACTGTAGACTTCGTACCAACGTAGAGAATGCCCAGTATGTGAAGTTACCGCCAATGCGTTTTGCTGTGGCTAGAATCTCGGAAGGCAGCATAACATTGCAACTAAGGACGCAGGTATTATAATACATGGACTAACTTACAGTTAGAAGTGGCTAGCAGCGATAATGAGACATCAGGGATTGCCACTGCACAACGTTTGGTCATTCGGAGTAGCCACTCACATGGAACACCTTTAACTGCAACAAACCTGGCCAATGCATAGTAGGACAGATAGATGAACGGATCATGGAGAAGAATTGTCGTGGCATGTTGTTGTTTGGTTCAGGTCGTCATAGTCGTGGTCTATGTCGATGATCTGACGATCATGTCGCGGAACATGCGACTAATTGATGCGCTCAAAGCCGAGTTGTCAAAACGGTTCAAGATGAAAGACGTTGGCGACATTCACTACATCCTCAAGGTGGAGGTAACTCGCAATAGGAACCAGCGTGTGATGATGATCTCACAGCGCAAGTACATTGCAGAGCTGATCACGAAGTACAAACTGGTCGATAGCTCGCCGGTGATGACACCGCGAGCACCTGGCCTCGTACTCGAGCCAGAGACGAACATGAGCGCAGAGCATATTGCTGCGCAGCCTTACGACTACAGAGGTATTGTTGGATCACTCCAATATTTGGTCCGTGGCACACGACCGGACATCGCCAACGCGGTTAGAGAATTGAGCAAATTTCTGTCTTGTTACAACCGCACGCACTGGGAAGCGGCTAGGCGAATACTCAAATACTCGAAAGGGACGTCAACGTACGGTCTGTTTCTCGATGGAAAAACGAGAGACGTGACTTACGAAGTGTACACTGACGCGAGCTTCGCGTGTCAACTTAAAGAACGTAAATCCGTAACAGGGTACGTAATCCAAATGGCCGGAGCCAGTGTGTCATGGTGTAGTAGCAAGCAGGGAGGCGTGTCGCTCTCTACTGCTGAAGCTGAACTCATCGCACTAAGTGAGGGAGCTAAAGAAAGTGAGTGGTTGTGGCACTTGCTGGGAGAAATGGGGTTTCCTCAAAAGGTACCAGTGCAGGTATGGTGTGACAGCAACGCTGCCATCAGCATTGTGAAAAATCCTGAAAATCACAAAGCAAACAAACACATCGAGATCCGCTACCTGTTTACGAGGGACCTGGTTGAACTTGGCTGCCTCAAGATAGCTTACTGCTCTACAACAGAGATGACAGCGGATATTCTCACTAAAGCTCTCCCCACAAAACAATTCCTGAAACTAAGAGAGAAACTAGGAGTGCGAGATCTGAAACTTTACCCTAGTACTTAGTGGGAGTGTTGAATGAAGAGGCGCGCCGAGCGCGCCCCGCTCAGCAGGCTTCGCCTGTCTGCCAGTCGAGTTATTTTGCAACTGAAAGCAAACCCTCTCAAACATGTTATTATTGTTTTAGCAAGTACGAGAGAAGTTCAGATCGCCAGCTGTGGTCTGGATTGTGCAGGCAGAGAGCTGCCTGCCAACCATACATAGTGCGATGACGACACGAGGCCGAGGAGTGAGGAGTCGAGGACGCAGTCCGAAGACGAGCTCACTTCCTCTTTTGCCTCCAGGTACCGAGCACGGATCTAGAGTAGTAGGCATAGGAATAGAGGATAACCAAAAGAGTAATATTGTAGTGAGCTACCTACCCTGTGTAAACTGTTCATTTCAACAGCCCCCGTGATAAACAACAGGGGCGGACTGCGAACGTTTCGTTGCACTCAACTAAGGAATACTGTAGCACTGGCTTTGTGGGTGAGGTTGATGCACGCGCCACAGCTTGCACAGCTCGTGGTCCAGTCGCCGAGCAAGAGGAGCACGAGCTGGCCCGGAGTCGCAGGGCGGGGCGGCAGTGTGAGTAGCAGGAGATGGACATGGTGCCCAGCCGCGGCATCTACGTGTCCGCACCTACAAGAGGGCAATTGTACCGCTGCTGAGGAGGAATTGCACTTTGTCCAGCATGATGTAGTGGTAATATCTACAGGAATGCATTTAATAGGCGTACACGCAAAAATCATGAGCGCTTTCCAGCTCGAGGACCCCTTGCCGTGGGAACTTCCAGCAGAAGCACTTCACAGTCAACAGCCTTTAAAAAGCCTTATTTTTGACCAATCACATGCGTCACAAGTCAATGCCATAAATTACCGACAAAGGTTATACGTTACCACGGCCTCCTCATAAATTACCGTAATCTATCCGGTCGTATTTCGTCCAATCGCTCGTGGCATCGTGGTCGGAATTGCGTCCAATCGCAGGCGTTCATCTACGTATCATGCGTTGAAGCGGAAGGGGGAGGAGCCCGAGAGAGAAATCATTAGAGAAAACCCGAGCCTTCCTTCGACCCAGAGAGCACCAAGCATGAGTGAGGCCATCAAGCCGCTGCAGAGTCTGCTGGACGCCTTCGGCGCGCGTCTGGCGCGCGTGGAGGCGCAGCTGGGCGTGAAGGGCGCGCCCGTGCCCGCTGCCTCTGCTGCTGCGCCCGCCGCCGCCCCCGTGGAGCTGTCGCCGCAGCTCGAGGCGTACGACGAGTACGTGGCCCAGTACCTGCCGCCCTTCCTGGAGGTGAGCACCAAGCTCGGAGACGACACGCGCAAGCTCGGGGAGGTGACGGAGAAGGCCTTCGCGGCCCAGCGCGCGTACCTGCTGATGGCCAGCCAGTGCAAGAAGCCGGCGGCGCTCAACCCGGAGCACCTCAAGGACCTACAGGCCTGCATCAAGGAGATCAACGCGCTGCGCGACAACCGCAGCGAGTTCGCCAACCACCAGAACATGGTGAACGAGGGCATCCAGGCGCTCGGCTGGCTCTGCGTCGAGCCCGCGCCCAAGCCCTTCATCGAGTCGTACGTGGGCGGCTCGGACTTCTGGGGCAACAAGATCCGCGTGCAGTACAAGACGTCCAACCCGGACCAGATCGCCTTCGTCACGTCCTTCAAGAGCCTGCTGACGGAGCTCATGGCCTACGTCAAGGCGCACCACACCACGGGCGTCACGTGGAACCCCAAGGGCGGCGACGTCGCCAGCTACACGCCTGCCGCTGCTGCTTCTGCGGCGTCCCCCGCCAAGGCTGCGGCGCCTGCTGGCGGCATGGGCAGCGTCTTCGCGGGCATCAAGTCCATCGACCAGAGCGGTGGCAAGACGGCCGGACTCAAGAAGGTCACCAAGGACATGCAGACCTGGCGCAAGGACTACAAGCCCGAGGGCGACGTCCCCACGCCGGCCGCCCCCGCTGCCATCAAGAAGCCCGCCGCGCCCGTCAAGGTCACCAAGCCTGCTGTGTGTGAAGAGCGCAACGGCAACTGGCAGATCGAGTACCAGACCGGCCCCGAGCCGCTGACCGTGAGCGGCATCAACATGAAGCAGCAGGTGTACATCTTCGGCTGCGAGGGCGCCACGATCCTGCTGGAGGGCAAGGCCAAGAATATCGTGTTCGACTCGTGCAAGAAGACCAAGCTCATCTTCGACAACGCCGTGTCCAGCATCGAGATCGTCAACTGCAAGGGCGTGCAGGTGCAGTGCAAAGGCGTGGTGCCGTCCGTGGCCATCGACAAGACGGACGGCTGCCTCGTGTACATCTCGTGGGAGGGCCGCGAGGTGCAGTTCGTCACGTCCAAGAGCTCGGAGATGAACGTGGCGTTCCCTGCGGGCGCAGGCAGCGACGACTACGTGGAGAAGCCGATCCCGGAGCAGTTCGTGCACAAGATCATGGACGACCTGACCATCTCGTCCGACGTCTCGGACCTGTACTCACACTAGATCCAGTCCACGCGAATGACACGCAGTGCTTGTGACGAGCGAGCTGGTGAGCTGCAGTTCTTCCACCTGAGCTTCCGACGTTCTCTTGGGCTGTTATTTTTTTTCTTTCGTGCTCGTCGAGTATGCTGTCGAGAAATGAATTGAGCTATACTTTTGGCCCAGTTTGTCTTGCGAAGGGTCGGTCGCGACTTGAGGAGTGCGTATTTGATCTTGTTGTTGTGGTGTTGGTGCTGGAGCAGGAATGGGCAAAGCGACCGAGGTGGTGACGCCACCGACGCCGGTCGTCGCTGAGGAGCAGCCAAATCCAGTTCAAGATGCGCCAAAGCCGAGCACGCTGATCTCGCTGGAGCAGCTCGAGCACCTAGACGCGGCAGGGTCAACGACGGAGCGAGTGGAGCGTCTGGAATCCGCTTTGGGCGTCCAGCACTACCCCGTGAACCCCAGGACCAGCGTGTGGGTGGACTTTTGCTTCGGCGTGCTCAACTTCGCCCGGGACGACGCGCGCCTGCCGCCCGACAAGGCTCTCGGCCTCCTCACCCTCGCGCACGAAGTGTACGTCTTCGCGACGCAGCCGCTGCAGCATGCCGCCGACTCACCTGTGAGTAAGCTCGCTGAGCCGGTGCCACCGAATGAGAGCATGGATCCGCAAGAGCAGGCTGAGACCAAGGTCAAACGACCGACGCCCGCATGGTCTGCTTCTCCGGACGCATACCCAACGGTAGAAGCTGTCTACGACCAGTTCCGCGAGAAGATCCGGCATGCCAGCGGCGTGGGGGCGACCAACGACAATGACCAGGAAGTGCCTTCATGGCCAGCGGCTCCCTTTTCGCCGACGGAGGTGGCGCGCATCGTTGCGTTTTTCACGTCGACCTTCTTCCGGCACTTGCGCGCGTACCAGTATCTGAGCCGGGTGCCGCGCCCGAGCGTTGTGCGCGAGACTCCAGTGCCCACCGAGACTCCGCTTCCGCCACGCGCACTTGTCGACGCCACGCTGCAGGCAGAGTGACTTCACGCGCCGAGGGATCAGCCGCCACTGGGCACAAATGGAGCAGCTACAGGGGCAAACGCGCAAAACGCAATGGCACGCGCATGGTGGCCAGTCCATTGCCGGTCGGCGGCTTTGCTTGCTTGAGGATTCGGCCGCGCTCGTTTAACAAGATTTGCAGGGCGTGTAGGATACGTGTAGCCATCCACGTACGTCAGCAAAGAGGTGTTGGTTTGTATTCTCTTTTGATATTTGTATCATTCGGGGGCTGCTGTGGCTGCTCTACTTCCCCATGCCGTCCTATTCTCTTCGGCTCTACGCAGTCCAGTCGCCGCTAGCTTTCGCTTGTTGTGGTTCGTCTGGCTGCGTCAAATTGAACTCAGCTGTACACGCACGCGCTTCCCGTCCGGAGCCTTGCCGGCGGCGGCAAGCTGCAGCGCAGTAAGCGCGCGCCATCCTCATTGCGTCCGTATAATGTCACCTTGTAATATTGCCGAGTCTTCGACACTTAGCCCGAGAGGTAGCCCTTGATCGTGTTGAAGTCGACTTCCTTGAGCGAGTTGATGGTACCGTTGAGGATAATGAACGAGCCGACGATCTGGGACGTACGCACCGTCAGACCCTTCGGGAACAGCAACGCAAGCGCCGTGGCCGCCATGTAGCGCTGGCGGGGGGACACCGTGTTGGGCACGCGCACCTCCGCGCGCCGGATGAAGTCGTCCATGTGCTCGCCGTAGCTCTTCTGCGGGTGCATGAGCTTCATCGTGGACAGGTTGTGCGGCACGTGCGACAGGTAACCGGACACGACACCAGCCGCCATGCTACCGATGGCATTGTTCAGCGCGGGGCTCGCCGTCACAGACAGACGCTCCTCGAAGTAGTCCGAAAGCTGGTTCAGGCCGACGCCGAAGATCACCTCACGCAGCATACGCGGCGCCGTACCGCGGATCCATCGCGTGGCGAGCGACTCCGGGTTCATGTGGCCGGCGTTGAAGGCCTCCAGCATGCTGCTGACGGGCGTCATGATGACACCGGGCGACACGGCCTCCGTGAGACGCACCAACTGCGGGTACTCGTACTGGTCAGCGTCCACGTGCTTCTCGAGCATGTGGCGGATGCCCTTGAAGCCGTTGATGTACACGACACGCGTGGGGATCTGCAGGTGCATCTCCGGGAAGAGTCTGGCGACGGGCTGACCCGTCAGGCGCGCGTTCAGCAGCGAGTTCATGCCACTACGGTAGAACGACTCGATGGAGGCGGCCACGGACGTGGCGAAGTAGGGCGTGGGCTTGGCGTGCTGCTCGAACAGCGGCGTCTGCAGCAGCGAGGCCTGCCGCCGGATCTCCTTGCTGAGGCTGTGCATGACCTCGCGCGAGGCCGTCTTGTCCTCCAGCACCTCGTCCAGCGCCGAGCTCTGCAGCGAGAAGCCCGACACGGGCGTGAGGCACCGCACCGTCACGGCCGCGGGGTCCTGCACGAGCGCGTGGTTGGCGCTGACGGCGCCGCTGGTCATCACGTCGAGCGTGTGCTCCTGGCCGTCGATGATCTTGGTGCTCTCGACGCTGCCCTCCTTGAGCAGCAGCATCTCCGTCTGCGTCTCGCCCTGGTGGTACACGACGGCGTTCTTGGGGTACGTCACGGCCTTGGCGCGCGCGCAGATCTGGCGCAGCGTCGGCTCCGAGCACAGCGCGAACATTCCGCTGTTGGCGGCGGCTTGCATGCAGTCGTCCATGGTCGTCGTGGAGGCGGTGGAGGGTGAAGAGAAGGAGGAAGTGGGGGGGGGAAGTGCGAGGGCGGGAGACGTCCGGAGCAGGAGGCCGGCGACGGTCTGCTTCTTCGGCTGCTTGGTCCGGCGGCAAAAGCTGTAATGAGCCGACACGATGGGCTGCGGAAATGATCAGACTATAATTCGGAGTTAAGTGGGACACACTCTTCTCTATAACTTTACTTTCTACTTGAACTCTCTATTGACAAAGTTAGTGCGTACACAGCGACATCGGCACGGATCCGCGCTAAACCGGTTGATTTGATCCAGTATCCTCAGGAGGTGTATGGCGCTGCTCTGCGCTCCGAAGCATGGCGTCGTGGCACGGCGTCGCGGGCTTTGCTCCGCTGGCCGTTGACGAGCGCAATGGAGTTCTGGTGATGCATTCGCCACGCCCCCGGGTCGATTGCTCAAACCTGGTGAAAAGGGAGATGCGCTGGGGGAGGGCACCAACGGAGACCTGGCCGGCGTAGGAGAGATCTTATGGACCCCACCCAAGCAGAAAAGAATAGAACGCGCATGTCGAAGTGCATTGCATGGCATTTGCAGGATGGTGTTACAGTAGGCGGATGCGCTCGCCAGGGCAGGGACAGACAGCGCCTGGCCGTCATCAGCTCAGCTTGGCGCCCGCGGTGATGGCAGGCGGAGGTTATTGTTGCTGCTGCCGCCGCGCAGTCGGAGCTGGCGAGGACTCGGCACCAGCGCCGATCGGCCGGCGGTGGAGGCGTTCACGGGCTTGCGGCGCGGCGTCTTGCGAAGCGGTTGCAGCGCCACGAAGGCCGCGTCGGCCCCGAGTGAAGACGCCGAGATTGAGTCGGCCACTGCGCTGGCCGTGGCAGCGGCGCCGGCTCGACGGGGCAGCAGCGGCGGCAGATACGTGCGGGAGATCTCCTCCATCACGCTGGCCTCGGCGGCTGCGGCCTGGGCAAGGAGCTGCGTGCGCCGCCGCTCGGCGATGAGGTCCCGTCGCTCGTCTTGACGCAGCAGAGTGTGGACGTCTTCCACCACGGGGGCAGCTGCCGTCTCCTTGCGGCGCTCGCGGGCGTCGTAGTCCACGGAGAAGCGCCATGGTCGATGCACGGGAACGTCGGGATGTCCGGTGGTCGGGTTCAAGTTGCTGCCGCTGGAGGGGTCCAGTCCGCCCTGCATCAACACGCCCAGACACTCGCCGCTGAGAGACCAGATCTTCACGCGTCGGTCGAAGGACGACGTCACGAGGCTCGTGGGCTCCTCGATCATCTGCACTGAGTACACGACGTCGCCGTGCGCCTTCCAGCGGCGTACGAGTGATACTGGAGGTAGTCGCCGCATCTCGCCGTCTTCGCATCGGGTCTCCTCGTCGACTTCGGCGTCGGCGGCAACGAGTGGCATGCCCGCCGAGAAGAAGAAGGACGACAGCGGGTCGCGGTGGGCGTAGGCTGCCCACTCCGGTGTGTTGCGAGCCTTGCGCACCATACTGGCGGCGTCCACGCGCAGGTTCCGCTGTGCATTGGCGCACTCGACCGGTTTGGCCAACGGCTTGAGATCGAAGTTGTTCGCCAGAAGCATGAGCAGTGGCAAGACGTTCCAGACGCTCAGAAAGCCCTTGTCATCGCCTGTGATTATCAGGAAGGACGTGAAGTCCAACGGGTCAGCGTAGCGATCGTCTCCACTGTTCGAGTACGCGTGTGCACTGGACGACGGTACACTGCGCCGGGTCGAGTGCGTGTCAATGCAATTGACCGAGGCCGTTCCCAAGAGATTGTGCTGGTTCCGGAAGCGAAATACGCACTTGCCTTTATATCGGGCTGACGGACGCATTGCCCAAAAGCAGAGGTTGCCGGTGCTGTCGCTAGACAGGAGCAGCGGGAAAGGGTCCAAGAAGTGAAGGCACAACAGCCCGCTCACGTGACCAATGCACGTAGCATCGAGACGCCCGAACTCGTAGTCCCAAACTTGCAGGGAGCAATCGGATGACCCCGACGCCAGGAGAGACAGGTGATACGAGAAGCTGAGCGCTGTGATGTCCGTCGAGTGCCCGCCGATCAACCTGCGAAGCAGCACACCGCGCTCCGAGTCTCTTTCGTCGTGAATGTTGATGGAGCAATCCCACGACACGCTGATAACCGCCATGTGCTCAGCGCAGTAACACAGCTTGGTTACTTCAGCATTGTGCGCACGATTGCCCAGCTCTGGGTATGCGAACGACTTCATGTGGGACCCGTTGAGGTAGTCGAAGACCTGAATGTTGCCACCTGCTCAGATGGATCGCGAAGTAATGAGAACAAATGTGAAAGGAAAACTTCTGAACGATAGCAACGCACCGTGGTCTCCAATGATGAACTTCCGCTCTCGAAAATCGAGACACAGCGTTGTCAGGTCCGTCGAGCTCAGATTCCTGACTTGGCAATCAAATACGACGAGCACGGCGGACAAGTGAGGGAGCGATCTACGGCAGCGATGGCCAACTCAGCTTGCTTACCTGTACACTCGAATCAGCTTCCCAACGCGAGCATCCCAGACTTTGACATCCCTTCCGGCGGCAGTGATGAACGAAAGAGAAGTCGGATTATACAGCGCAATGAAAACGGGGTGGTCGTCAGTAAGCTCGGGATTCTCCAGCTTCTCGTAGTCGAACTTGACCAACTAAAAGAATGCAGTATGGCATAGACACAGGTTAGCCGATGGACTTCACACGAAGTGCTTCAGCAAGTCCTTGCCTTTTTGCCAGCTGCAACGATCCGCTTCTCGGAGGTAATTGACACAATATTCTTGACATCCCCCATATTCTCGGCCGTGAAAGTTTGCATGCACGCAAAGTTGCGGATATCCCAGACCTTAAACACCCCGTCGACGTCAGCTGTGATAATTTGCGGTGTGTCCGGGATGATTTCTACGCCACACAGACTGTTGTTGTGCCCGTGTAATCGCAGAATGAGCTGGTCCACGTAGGGATTCCACACGAGAGCATCAAAATCAAAACCTGCGGACACCAAAAAACGGTACTCCGGCGAGTATGCAAGTGACCGCACACCTTTTGCATGTCCGTCGAGTTGCTGCTTGTGCTTCCCAGTGTGTACGTCCCATAGTCGAATCGTTCGGTCCATGCTGGCGGAAGCTAATGACTCGAGGGTAGGCAGCTGAGAAACAAACAACACGTCAGCTACTTGAGTAACAGCAAGTAGGATCTGAAAGCAAAGTTGAACTGACCGTGAGAAGATCAAGAACAATATCGTCGTGAGATCGAGTGAGCACTCGCCCGTGCACCTCGCCACCCATGTGATGTTTTTCTTCCATGCGTTCAGCATCCCACGCGTAGACAATGCCACTCACTCCAGCTGAAAAGAGCGCCGAGGACTCGGGATACCATTTGAGGCAATTCTGCGAAGTTGGAGTATGGCAGCTTTTCGTAAGTCTTAACGTCGTGTCGTCATAGAAGCGGAACTGCAGGTCTGAAGATGCCACAATGTACTGGTTGTACTAGTGGTGCATAGCGTGTTGTGCGGTTAGTTGAGTATCATCAAGGCAGCAAGAGTGTAAACAAATCCTACAAAAGCACTCACCTTGGGCAAATGTTCCGCGCACTGCACGAATCCTTCGGGGGACTTTATAGTGCGGATGAGCTCGCAGTTGACGTTGTAGATTTTGAAATACGGACTGCAGCTTTCCACCAGAGCCACGAGATCGTTCGACGGGAAATAGTAGATGTGGTCGATGAACGTGCTGTGCTTGGAAGCGTCTTCCCACTGCACGTGGTGATACTGCTGAATGGAGTTGGGCTGGTGGCTCTTGACAGTGAGCCCCGTGTCCACAATGAACGAGGTGAACTCTTCCCACTCCATCGAGCCGTCGCCATTGATGTCGATCTGAGCGAAGAGCTCGCACAGGTTGGCGACAAGTTGAGACTCGGATAGATCGTGCAGCCGCGAGTTCTCGTCGGTGTGGGCGCTGCTCTGCACGAAGCGCATCATGACGTAGACGAACTCGGCGATGGACAGACCCTTCACCTTCCGCAGGAACTCGTTGCGCAGCGTGCTCACCTGTCAGCAGTGGACGAGTCAGTTTGTATGGGGTGAGCCTGGCAAGAAGCAAACAGACCTCACCTTCTCCATGTCCATCATCATCATAATGTCCATGGTGAAGCCCTTCTCGGGGTCATGCTCGTATGGCCGACCGCTCGCTCTCTGCCTGGAGCTTTGGGGGGCACGATGCTATGCCAGTTAGAGAGACGAATTACAGACGCATACCGTAGACGAAAAGCTGGTAGTGGTCGTACAATTGGTTGGCCACTTCTGTCAGGAAGGCAGGCGAGATCCGCTTGTCGCCATTGCGCGATTCCTCATCGCTCATGGCGATGCTGCAGATTGGAGAGGCGCTTCAACATTAGGATCTAATTTCTACCAATCGTGGGTGCATTCCATACCCTGACAAAACTGTTTGTTGTGCGGCTTTTAGGGGGGGGCAGAATTATCTTTTTTGGCACATTTTTTGGCCTGAAAAAAATGGTCACCATATTTTTGGGGTCAGCTGACATATCCGTTCTGCCAGAGACTCTGACCCAAACCTGTGTTGTCGGTCTATATGTCACGCAAGGCCTTTGAGAGTTGTTAGACCTGGCATATCCACATTTCGCCTGGCGAGACGTATATAGAAATCTCAAAAAGCTCCGAGGTAGTTCAGCGTATACTGGCAACATTGCTGGTGCACCTGAACTACGGTACACTGTAAAACATTACTTCTGCAATTCTAAACTGTAGAATAACAGTTCGTTGATTTTATTGTGCCTTGCACCGAAAATGTCCGCTCCCATAGTAAGTTTCCTCGATTTAATATAAAGTGAGATCGTTTTAAAATAAAACGAGCACATAATAGGGGTAGTCAATGTCCGCAGCAGCAGCTCACTTTTTTCCGCCGCAGCAAGTCTGATTTTTTTTCCGGGGCTGTGATTGGCCAGGAAAAAAATCGGCGACCGGAACAAAAAGTCGTTCCGGTCGAGCCGCAGCAGCAGCTCTTTTTTTTCTGGCGCGGCCACGATCTGAGCACCAACGGTACGGTAGCATGGTCGTCGCGCGAGAGAAGACTCCGCCCTTGGGGCTTGCGCTGCGAGCAGAGTACTCGGAAGGTCAATCTAGTAAGCCTACTTGTGTCAGTCGGATGCCTTGGTGTCCAGCAAGCGTTGCTCCAGCGCGATCATGTAATAATGCACAATGTATGTCGAGGGACAGAGAGAACACGAGCCCTTCCACGAGCTCTGTATCTATACTACACTCGAGTCTTCCTTAGCAAGCAGCCTAGGACTGTGTCTAAAGCTTCAGCCACTAATTGCTGCGTGTTGGAAGGCGCTGATAGTAGTAAGCGGACGGCAGTTCGCTCCGCTAGCTACAGCTAACTTAGCCCTACTTTCGCATCGGCAGGCCGAGCAACAAGCGCCTCCCCCAACAAAACTCAACACGCTCAGTCTCCTCACCTTGACCATCAACAACAGGTGGGCCTCCTTCGTGCTCACGCACGACCTCAGCAACTCTACAACTCGGATAGACGCCGACTGGATTTTCATGCTAAGATCAACACCTACGACGCCGATTGCAGTAGGATGAACACGCTATTGCCTTCTCACACTCAACCTGAAGGAGGCAGAGGACACCACCTTCCTCTTGCTGGCGCTCCGGGCATTCCAGCGTACGCTTCCCAGCATCCCAGAGGATCTGTTGCTGCGGACAGTGAATGGGGTGGTCAACGCACTCAGCTTGTGATTGGTAAAAAACATTTGTCGTGTCTGAGTGAGAAAAAAATTAGTTGCTGCTGCAGGCATTGACTACCCCTAATCCATGCATCAGCTGTGATTTGTTGGCTCAGTCTCAGTCCGCTACGCCCATATTGCTGGAAATGCCGTTTTAGATTGGTATTTCCACATCCGATACAGTATCTGTTGCTTGCCGAACGTGTGTGCACACGATCAGCCTTGTGAGCAACTCTAGAAGGATCGATTTATGGGCGCTGGCCTATTTTTACAGTATTTTTATTTGATAAGCCATTTCGATTTGACCGTGAAATCAGGGTGGCGAAATGCGTGCAAGGCACAATAGGGGGTTTCAAAGTAGCGAATTTTGGACAGATCTTTTGCAAAGGATTTGAAAAAGATCAGACCAAAAATCAGACAAACGATGAGCCTCCAAAGGCTCATCGTTCGTCTGATTTTTTGCCGAGCTTATTTTTTGGTGACGGCCAAAAGCCATCCATAGAGCGGCACCAAGACGCCGCTTGAAGCCGACGTAGAGCAGCACTGTGGAGAAGTGCTGAATAAGAATTGTTCTCCGAGAAAGGCGGCAGGGCCGATCGACTGGAGGCGTGGGAGATCGGCGATCGAGAGACAGGCAGCAAGGATCTACGGATCAGAAGGAGTTCTTCGGGAGATCTCAGGTGGTCCGATGACGCCGGCGCGTAAGGCAGGACATGTGGCAAGCCGGATTGTGGGTGATCGTGCCCGAACCGCGGCGTGATTCGGGGCCGACCCAAGTCCAGATCGACGACAGAACCCGCGGATCTGGGATGGCCGAGGACAGAAGGTGATAGATCGGCGGCGCATGGCAACCGGCATAAGTCATCGATCGGGAGTGGATCGCCGATCGCCGATCGAGGTCGATCGTGGATCGCCGGTCGAGATCGATCGCGGATCGTCGATCGGGGTCGATCGTGGATCGGGAGCCGATCGCCGATCGTGGGTCGCCGATCGGGGTCGATCGCCGATCAGGGCCGATTGGAGTCGATCGTCGATCGGGGCCGATCGTGGATCGACCAGGATGGGACGCACATGGAGGACGAAGTCGGGGCAAGAATCCAGCAATCGTGGGGTTGTAGGAGGGTAAGGAAGATGGTAGCAGTAGGGAGAGACCAGCTAAACATAAATCAGAGCAGAATTTGCACCGAAGAGCACAAGTCCCCTTAAGTCACCAAGTCCCAGGAACTACATTGGCCTCGGCAGTGTCGACACTGTGGGTAGTGAACTAGCGGTACGGTTAAGACTGGATTAATACATTGGCCAGCTTGACCTTCTTTAGTGATCTATCTCTTGTGTGCAAGTCCTCGATCGACCGGATATTAGTGCTTGGCCGGCGATCGTTTCTCCTCTCGATCAACCTCGATCCCGCTATAGGAAGCGGCAAGCAACTCAGGAAAGGAAGGAACATACCCGGAAAGGCAACTACAGGCCTTGGATCAACTCCAGGCCGACCGATCGCAGCGAACAACCCTCGATCGGAGCGTATACTCGGACGCAGAGCGAAGACTACCGCGCTGCTCCACAAACTATCCCCGCATCACGCCAAGACACTCGATCTTCACCAAGTGCTGCATCTTCGGAGCCCCGAGAGAGCAGATCCAGCCCGCCGACGGGTACACAAGGTGAGAACAAGTTCAGCCGATCACGGATCGTTGGAGAACCCCCTCCGTTAGTCGGTGTCTGGGCGCTGATGGGAAGCTCGATCAGGCCTTAACCAGATTTTGGCCGATCCCGCTACACCACAATGGTGCGCGTGCCCGGATCTCTTGGGGACTCCGGATTTCACCGTGAGTCCGTAGAAGATGCGCAAGTGAAGAAAGAACCAGGGGAAGAGGCGTCGTTGGATATCGGATCGACGAAGACGCTGCTGAACAAAGTGAGATCCGCGGATCGACAGAGTGCTCGGAGGACTTCTGTCGACGGAATCGAGGGCGATCTGGAGACAGATCTAGCAGACAAACCTCAACATCCTCCCCAGGTCCCTTCGGGGTCCCCGGTGGGTCTTGGTGCGAACCGAGATTCACTTACAAAACAAACTAAGGCGGGATCGGACCGATACGCGTTCGCTACTCGCTGATCAGGCTCGATCCGGGCTACCTGGACGCGATCGCGGACAAGGCCCAGATCGTGAGCAAGAAGCTGAGAGCGCCAGGCTTGGACGACGAAGATCCCAGACCGTCGGCGCTCGACTGGTCTGAGGCTACCTGGATCGTCAGTATCACTTGAAGGAACTGCGAGACTTCTTGCGTCAAGATCCTGTCATGGTGATCGTGCGGCCAGAGCAGATCGACGACCCGAAGGGCCCGATTTCGCCCCCCCCCCCCGAGTGACGGATAACAAGCTGATGGCGGTGAAGAACCTGCTCGGGCTGTTGAAGGAAGCCGGCTTCGTGGCTGGCGCCTTTGAAGCAAACGATCTTTTCGATCAAGATCCAGACAGCGATCCAGACATTGGTCGACAAGTTGAGACCTTTGGTCGACATGATCGCGGATAGTACGGACCCGAAGGTGCCAGATCCAGTGTTGCCGGCTCCAGTGTCATCGCCGCGAGTGGAGTCCACTGGGTACCGATCGTCGTCACATTATGTCTCCGCAGCGGAACATGTATCGGATACGTCGTCTGAACCCCAACGGATGTCCCTCGGCCCTTCAGGATCTGCGATGTTGGACGCGCGATCACGGAGTCAACGTCAGGAACTCATGCGGTCAGGACCTCGGAAGCAGAAACCCAAGTCGACCCATCGGACCACCAGTGCCACCGGATCAGATGAGTCGAATGGCAGACTGGCGTCTTACTTTCAGGCTGCGATGACTCGATTTCTGAAGGAACAACAGGTCACGGTGGTAACACCTACTCCAGTGGTCGACGACAACGTTGGATCGCGGGACGTGGAGATGTAATCAGCCGGATCACCGGATCAAGATCTCTCCCAGTGGGAATACGATCCGGACGATATTGATCTACCGAGTTCGGCCCCTGCTGCGGTGGCCACCGCTGCCTCGGGATCCACTGGGTCCTCCTTGGACCAGTGTGTGCGAATCTCCGCGATGTCCGATCTTAAGGAGTTCAGTGGCAAGGATCAGGACGAAGACCGCGCCCGATCGTGGATCAGCAAGGTGAAATCGGCGTTCCTGCGAGATCAGGCTACGGACGAAGAGAAGTGCTTGACCTTCGCTGATCTACTGACGGGCCCGGCGAAGAACTGGTACCGCCAGCTGGGCCGATCGACGCGGAACAAGTGGAGCGATCTACTCCGGAGTTTCCATATCCAGTATTGTGGCGTGGGAGTATCGGTCGCTTGGCAGTATTATCATTCTCGCAAGAGATCAGAGGAATCGCCGTTGGAGTACCTCTATCGACTGAATGTGGCGGCTCTGCATGCAAGATTGAAGATCAAGGACGGAGATTCCAAGGCCCGCCGAGAACATGGCGAACACTTTATCGAGACGCTGGGCGATCCGGAACTGGCCGATCAGCTCACCCTACTCCGGCTTGCGGACGCGGAAGATCTGGAGGAAGTCCTGCGCGCTCGAAAGCGCGCGAAGAGTAGACAGAAGCGATCCGCCTTTGGATCGAAGTATCGTCAGAAAGTTCCGACCTCAGCACCAGCTGCTGCAACCAAGCGGGCAGTGCGTGCGGTTCAGATTGCGAGCCAGGAGTCTGGGTCGGACACAGGATCGGAAGGGTCAGACTCGGAGGGTGATCTACGTCGCGTTTACCCAGCGTCGGCCGATGACAAGTCTCGCAACGCAGGGTGCGACTCGACGAAGCCGGATCGAGGCAACCAAGCGCAGATCAACCATGACGCACCTCGATCGGATCCACGATCGCGATCTTCACCTGACGGATCGGAGCGATCAAACCGCTGCTCACACTGTGGATCGCGGAAACACACCGATCTCGATTGCTGGAGACGTTTCGCGTGCGAGAAGTGTGGCAAGCGAGGTCATCCAGCGAATCGTTGCCTGTTCGTGTGCCGTGGATGTGGTGAACTGCACGAGATGGGCAAGTGTCCGATGGAGGAATTCTACAACCAAATCCGTCAATGGTTCAACCCGGCGAAGCACGCTGGCATGCTGCCCGCGATCGCCGAGAAGATGTTAAACTATGACGCTCCCCGGGTTGGAATCCGGTACGAGCCGAGCGTTCTAGGTACTGGATCGATGCATTCGTGGACAAGAACACGGTAGATCGAGTAAGTGGACGGACTGATCTACGCGGTAATACATGTGATCGGCATGCGAAATTTGCGCCAAGGTCTTAAGTCTACATCGATCGGACGACTTCAGCCGTTCTGACGCCGAAGTGCCCTTGGATCTCCAGTCTGGAGAAACGCGGGGCTATTGGAAGCAACGCAGACCGGAGGAATGGTTCGAGCCAGCTGGTGGAGAAGTGACGACCGAGATCTCGGAGCATGATCGCGATCGAAGTCTGCCTCGCGTCAGCGAACACCGCAGATCGGGCGATGTGGTGCCCGATCTCCTCCCTGGGGAGTCCAGAGGGTACTGGAAACATCATTCGCCAGGTAAGTGGTCCGTCAGGCCAAGATCACTGGCAAGATCAACAATGCGAAGTCGATCTTACTCTTAGACACCGGCGCTGAGGTGTCCATCGTGGACACCGCCTTTGCTCGTAAGGTGGGGTGCTATGTCGACACGAGTTAGAGCCAGGAATGTGTGGGGATTGGCGAAAGCGTGTACATGACAGAAGGAAGGACCAGGATCAAGGTTACGCTGGTGGGATCGCTGGTGTATTTCTTCAATATCTGGGTTGGCGATCTATCAGGACATGAGGCGATCCTGGGTATGGATTTTATGGTTCCAGCGGGGATCCGCCTCGATCTTGCGGACGGCTCTATCTGTCTCCCCGACGAAGTCAAGATCCTGCTTAGCGGACGGCGTCAGCTGTACAACGACAATGTCAGACACGTGTGTGTAGATCAGGGAATGCAGATCGCGATCGGGGATTCGATTGAGCTTCCGCTACGAATGAAAGTGACGGATCGAGAATAGCTATGGGTCATCGTTGGGTGCCGACCGTGGTCCGAGGACCCGACAGGATCAGATATCTCCAGGTTACCAACGTCAGCGACAAAGACCTCGTCTTGCATCGGAATGAACGGATCGGGATGTGGCTGGCTGGAGATCGGATACCCCGGATCCCAGGATATGTGTCGATCGGATCTCGTCGATACATGGAATGGCAGAATCTAGCCTTTCAAGCCACGACATATGACCGGCCGACGAACCAGGAGGCGCCAACGGGACCTCCGGTACCTGCCGTCGAGCGACCGATTTATCCAGCGCCCCGAGCCATTCTCCAGAGACGCCAGGTATCCCCGATCGTCGATCAGTCGACGGGTCCACCCGATCCAACAAGCGAACCGGAGGCAATGAGCCCTGATCCGGGGGCGGCAGTCGTTGATACTCTTAGATCAGGGGGCAGACCGTGGCAGGACGATGATCGCGTGACAGAGGAGTCGGGGTCGTCTGCTTCAACTGTCCTCGTCGGAGATCCACCAGACCCACGGTCGGATCCTGTTGAGTCGGTGTGGGAACCTTCCGGATCGGAGGAGGAATGCTCTCCAAAGCGGAAACAGGCGGAGCCGGACTTCCAGCCTTCGCCGATCACGGATCAAGCGTGTGCACCGGTAGATGACGCGAAGCCGCAAGAGGATCGTGTTGGCGATCCAGATGGGAAGCCAGATCATGTGGATTCCGGTGGTAAAGCCGCCGAGAAGGGCGAAATTGTGTCCCCTCACTTGCCATCGGCCGATCAGGTCGGGGGATC